TTTTATTTACTTGTATTATAGAAAATTTTATTCTCTACAAAATAATATCCATATTGCATGTATTTTTTAATTGCTATATAATTTTTAAATATCTTAACATATATTTTAATATTTTTAATCATATATATTAAATTTACTATAAAAATATAAATATTATTAATTATAAAAAATAATATAATAATGTCATAACTAATTATTACTCCATCCGTCCCAGATACCATGTCCACGTTGCCGTTTCTGTCCGTCCCACGTACCATGCCATTTTCCAAAAGGAAAATGATTACACACTTTAATCTTATTTTAAATTTTTTAATTTTATATTTTTTTAATTTTAATTAAACTAATTAGTTATTCTAATCTTAATTTATAATTATTTATATTATAAAATAATTATTTTTACTAATACATTTTTAATTATCTACTAATTACACCCTTCCTAAAATACCGTGTCTACAGTGTAACAGACACGGTATCTGGGACGGAGGGAGTATAAATTACGTCGGTCGGTGATATTTCAATTTTATTTTTTTTTATTGAAATTAAAATTTCGAATGGTTTGTTGATTTTATTTGTAATATTAATGAATCGAATTTTATTTCAAGATAATAGCTTAATTGAAAAGTTTGTATTTCTATAATCACTATTTCAAAAGAGATAATTTCTCTTATTATTATTATTATTTTTTTTTTATAGTTTTTTATATCCTATTTTTTCAAATAATTTTTAATATTTATTTAATAAATAATTCTTTTATTGACGTATATTTATTAATAAAATTAAAAATATATTTATTTTATTAAAGATAAACATAAGAATAAGATTCATGTATATTTATAGTGATTAATCGGTTTTAAAGTTTCTAATTCTCTCTATACTTTCCATGTTAATAAGGTTAACATTTTTTTTCGTTTTTTTTACCCGAGATAAACAAAAATTCACATTAATCGACTTATATTTTTTTATTGGCTTGTTTTTCGATAATTCATTATTATTTAACAATATTATATTTTGAGCTGATCTCTTTTTATAAAATGTTTGAAATTAGCATTTAATTAACAAATATAGCATAATCATAATTTAATACTTATAATATAATTTATATTGTTTGATAAAGAAAATATAGAAGAGATAATTTAATTCAACTTGTAAATTAAGTTAAACCCAATGATATTTATATAAGACTTACATGTGAATGTGTATAAAATCAAGATTAAAGATATATAATATTTTTAATATTTATAAAAGAAATACTATATTCTTTTCTAAAAAATGTATAGATCATTTTTAAATGCTCATTAAAGAAACATTATACATATATATTTTTTTAAAAAATGTATAGAATATTTTCAAATGTTTGGAATTAAATATTACTCCCTCCGTCCCATATACCGTGTCTGTTACACTGTAGACACGGTATATTAGGAGGAGTGTAATTAGTAGATAATTAATAATATATTAGTGAAAATAATTATTCTATAATATAAATAATTATAAATTAAGATTAAGATAACTAATTAATTTAATTAAAATTTAAAAAATAAATTAAAATGTTTAAAATGGGATTAAAGTGTGTAATCATTTTCCAAAAAAAAGAAAGTGACATGGAATGTGGGACAGACAGAAACGGCAACGTGGACATGGTATGTAGGACGAAAGGGAATAATGTATAAAAAATATAATATAATTATCAATGATAATTTAATTCAACGCCTTTGTTTCAATTAATATATATATATATGATGTGTTTGTTTTTCTATTTGAAATAAAATACCATAATTTAATTCTCGCATCGCACAATTTTTAATAAAAATATATTATTATTTTTATTCTTAAAATATCATATCAAAATATTATTTAAATAAAATTTTAAATTTAATATCTTAATTAAAATCACGACCAAACAAACATTTTATTCAAAATATTTTATCCTAAACATATTATTCAAACCAAAAATAAAAAATTAATTCAAAGATCTAAATTTCTCAAAAAAAAATAAAAATGCTAAATTTAATTTATTCGTGTTTTCATTTAATTTGGTTAAAAAAACAACCCAAATTACAATATTAAAAAAAAAAAAAAAGTAAAAAAACTATAAACACACTCTTACTTAAAAACTAAAAAAATTATCAAAACCGTAAATATGAGAAAAACAAATAAGAATAATACTTTTGAAATTGAACTTGAGAATTAAAATCTTTAATATAAAATAAATATCTTTTTAAAAAAATTGTAATAATTTGCAAAAGTATTTGAAATGTTATATATCATATATAAAAATGCTATCGAGTAAATATATTATATCCGTTACAAATTTTTTTTTCATTATTTTAATTTAAAAATATTTTTAAAGTTCTGTATTCATTCATTATAGTTTTTTATGATTTACAATGTAATTTATAAAATTAATTTAAATAGAACATAATAACAATTTTTTTAAAAAAAACTATTAAATTTATAGCGATTAGGGTTTGTTTGTTCAGTATTTTGATTTAATTTTTTTTTTATCACGTGAGGAATAGAGAATCATGTCGATCATATAAAAAATAATATTTTATATTAAATATTAACTTTTATAAAATAATAAAAATACATATAGTGAGAACTACGTCGGAATAAAAAAAATATATATGGACAAACAAACCCTTAATGTGCCAAAATTAAAACAGCAAAAATATTGAGACAAAAGTACTTAATTTGTTTGGAGGTTTTTAAACACTTTTATTATTCATAAAAAAAAATTTCTTCTAAAAATATCAAATTAAATTAAATATTTTTATTTTTTATTTTTATATTATAATACAAATTAAATTTATATTTAAAATATTTCATCAATCTCTGTTTATTTCATATCAAATAACTATTAAAGCCTAAATTTTTATTATTAAAAATCATAATTTAAAATCCGAACTCCCAAATAAACAAGTAAATTTTGTGAAATCTCCTATTGTGCATTATTGAAGCAAATGAGAGGGAAATGATAGTCAATTTGATTGAAAATTTAATCATTTTTTTTACCATAAATAAATACAAATGATTTAGACATATTAAATTAAATACTTTTATTTTATTTAATTACAAATATTTATTTATATTATTTTAAATAATTATCTTAATTTCAAAATTCAAATCAATGCAAAACTCACATACAATAAAATAATAGTTGTTGGACGTCCCAAATACAAAAATAGGACATTAGTTTGTGGAGGGAGTACAAAATATATTGTATTCCCTCCGTCCATATAGTATGGGTGTATTACTGTAGACACGAGAATTTATGTAAAGTATAATTAGTAAGTAATTAAGAAATGTATTAGTAAAAATAATTACTCCCTCCGTCCACAAACTAATGTCCTACTTTTCTATTTGGGACGTCCAACAACTAATGTCCTATTTCCTTTTCTAAATACAAATTTTACATTTTTACTCTTCATTCATTTATTACTTTTAATCTCTACCATTCACTTAAGGACAAAATTGTCTATTCATAACAAAAAGACAATCACCTAAAAAACCGTGTAAGTATACTTTAGGACAATAGAAAATGGATAGATGGAGTATTATTTAATAAAAATAATTATAGATTAAGATTAACATAATTAAATAGTTTAATTAAGATTAACAAAAATTAAATTTTAAAATTTAAAATATAATTAAAGTGTATAATTAATTTTTCAAAAAAGAAAAAGACAAATTATGTGGGATGGACGAAAATAGAAAATAGAGACAAATTATGTGGCAACGGAGGGAGTATTAGTTAAAATGATGTATTTTATTATTATTATTTTTTATGTATTTATTAAACCAAATTAAATGAATTTTGACCGTTTAATTGGAATGATAATGACAAACAGCAAGGTGGACTTATTGGATTCCTTAACAGCTTTTTTTTTTTTTTTATCCATCAAATTAATTTAAAATTAAATTAAATTAAATTAAATTAAATTGGGTGTCAATGTCATAAAAGACTACCATGTGAACCCATTATTTCTTCCTCAAATTAAATTCCACTCACTACTTACCTACATTTTAAATTATAAATTAATTTTATTACTATTAATGCATTATAACCTCCACTCATAAGGTTGTGTTTGTTTGGGAATTTGGATTTTGAGTTGAGATTTGAATAGTAAAAATTTTGAATTTGAATATATTGTATGATGTGATATAAATAGGTGTTGATGTGATGTTTTGATTGTAAAATTGATTTTTAGTATAATATAAAAAATAAAAAAATAATATTTTTTGAGAGAAAAGATAAATGAATATTGTATTTAAAATCCAATTCCCCGAACAAACACACAAATTTGTATATAGACATAGATATAGATATATATATATATATTGTTTCAAGTAAAATATGTAATATTATGCATTAAAAATGAACACATGTTAATTGAAAATGATAAAATTGTGAAGTAAACAATTTTGAAAAGAAGAAGAAGAAATAATAGAGCCAAATTGTACAAATATAAGGTTTTGTTTAGACAATTATTTTAAATATTTGGTACTATTTTATTTTATTTTTTAAAAATATCACATAAAATATATTTTTAAATAAAAAATAATTATAGCTATTAAAATAAAATTTATAAACTATAATAAATAATTTCTATTATAAATAAACTAGAAATGAATTTATAAAAATAATTGACATAATTATTCGAAAATAAATAGATTCTGTTAAATAAAATTTTAAAATATAAGCATATAATATAATATTATTTTCATTTCAAATTAGGAGAGGAATAATTAAAAATATATTAATAAAAATAATTATACAATAAAATTAAGATAATTAATTAATTTAATTAAAATTTAAAAATAATATATTAAAAAATTTAAAATAGAATTAAGGGATATAACTTTTTTTTAAAAAAATAACAAAATAAATGAGACTAACAAATAAAAAAATGGGACATAATAAGTTAGACGAAATAGTAGATCTTTAAAAAGATGAAATAGATAATAATGGGAGTGCCAATTTCAATTTAGCTTGAAACGTCAACCAAACACACAGACGACACAAAGCCGTCGTGCGACGTCGTTTCGCTCACTCCCATTCCATTCGTTCACTCTCCCATTCCCCGCTAATTGCGCCTGTTTGGTTGTCCCCTTTTCTGACCAAAGCTTCCATTGCAGCACTGCAGATATCAGAAATGGATAGTTTTAGTTAATTTCTACTTCCCTTTCGCATGCCCGAACGACGACGACGGCGACACATTGTCAGGCTCAGACACCTCCGCCGCCTACCATGTCCGCCCTCGTCTTCATCCTTGTCCTAATCCTCCCTCCCGCCCTCTCCCTGTCCTCCTACCCTTACAGTAAGTTCAATTCGTCGCCATTGTTCGATCTTTCAATTTCCCCAAATTGTGGCTCTAGTTTTGTTAATTCTTTGACTTGATTTTGCCCTAATTTCGATTTGGGGCCCTCTTTGTTTGTTTCTTACCGCAGATTACACTCTCCACATTGATTGCGGCGGCCTGGTCAACACCACCGACGTTTTCCGGACAACCTGGCTCTCCGACCGCTTCTACTCCGGCGGCGCCGCCTCCATCGTCTCCGAACCGCTCCGGTTCGTCCACCAGCAGGAGAAAAACCTCCGCTACTTCCCGATTTCCTCCGGCAAGAAGAATTGCTACTCGATCCCCACCGGCGGCGGCGCCGCCGCCCGCTACTTCCTCCGCACCTTCAGCGTCTACGACAACTTCGACGGTAAGTCTCACTCCCCTTCCTTCGACGTCTCCGTCGAGGGCACTTTAGTCTTTTCCTGGAGATCCCCTTGGCCCGAATCCGTTTCCCGCTCCGGCGCCTATTCGGATCTCTTCTTCTCCGACGACGATTCCGGCGCCGTCGACGTTTGCTTCTACAGCATCGCCACCGATTCTCCGGTCGTCGGCTCCGTCGAGCTGATCCAAATCGACCCTAACGCTTACAATTTCTCGTACCCTAAGAATTCCAGCTCCTACATTCTGGTTAATTATGGAAGATTCTCGTCCGGGTCGGATCAATGGGGCCCCGGATTCACCAACGACACCGATTTCTTCGGCCGGTCATGGCAGTCGGATTCCGAATTCCGGCTGAAGCCAATCGCAGCCGCCAATGCGGCGGCGGTCCGATCGATTTCCGCCGGAAAATCGATAGCAAATGCCGGCGTTAGCCCGAATTATTTCCCCGAAAAGCTCTACAGGACGGCGAACGCGGCGGAGGGCGATAGCGGCGGAATATTGGAGTATGAGTTGCCGGTGGACGCGAAGCTCGATTACTTGTTGTGGTTTCATTTTGCGGAGATCGACGCCGCCGTGACGAGCCCCGGACGGAGGGTATTTGACGTGCTCGTAAACGGGGAGAGAATTAATACGGTGGACATTTTTAAGGAGGTCGGGGGATTTGCCGCGTACGATTTTAGTTATGTGGTCAAGAATTTGAGTAGCACTACTTTGAATGTGAGGTTGGAGTCGGTGGTTGGCGCGCCCGTGATTTGCGGGCTTGAGAATTACGCGATTGTGCCGGTTGATCCGAGAACTATTCCCGATCAAGGTATATATATATGCATATATGATGTAAGAAGTCAACCGTTTTAAGGTTTTGTATGGGTTGGAAGGAATGGCTTTGTGTTTTTAGCTTTGTTGCTTAGGGAGCGGAGGACTAGAGATGATTCATGTTGCGTAGATTGAATTTAGGTAATGATGAAATGATCGTAGCTCGTTTAGGATTGAACTGTTGTTGTTTTGGTCATATTAGTACAATGTAATAACATATCCGTAGCAGATATAGTTCTTACATTGTTAAGGGTAATGTGGTCGTGGTTATGTCCTAGTATTTCTATTTGCCGATATGTCATTCTTTATTTTGATGATTAGTTTTGTCGTGCGTGTTCCGTATGAAATGCACAAGGGAGTTGTGACGGTCTAAAACTAATAGCTCATTTAGGATTGAAATTTTGTTGTTTTAGTCATATTACTACAATGTAATAACATATCCGTAGCAAATATAGCTCTTACAATCTTAAGGTTAATGTGCTCGTGTTTATATCCTAGTATTTCTATTTGCCAAGATTTCATTCTATATTTTGATTATTAGTGTTTTGCGGGTCGTTAGTCTACTTCATAACTCATTTTTCGTATGAAAGGCACGAGGGAATTGTGTAGTTATTGGCGACTCATTTGGGACGGATGGTCTAAAACCAATAGCTTGTAAGTTTTTATTACATGGTACAACTAACAGAAACTAATGTTCTTGTCTGTCCAAATTCCTCGCAGCTACGGCCATGAAAGCGCTGAAAGAATCGCTCCGTGTGCCGGACAGAATGGGATGGAACGGAGATCCGTGCGCGCCTTCGACTTGGGATGCTTGGGAAGGCGTGACATGTCATCCTACTAAGGATGGATCGAACCTCGTCATCTCTCAAATGTCAGCATTCCTTTTCCTTTTCAAATCTTCTTACCATTCAAATTCTCTCTAAAAATCCATATATTCGAAACCTAATTTTCATTTTGAAATATTATATCAAGAATGTGTTTGCAATTCAAAACATTACATTAAAAATCTATTTTAACTATTCTCAAACCAATACAAAACATCAAGACACTCCCAATTCCTTGTGAGTGAATCGCTAGGGTGTGTTTACTTGTCAGGTTTTACACCTGATTTTACTATTCCAACTTTTTTTCCTTACAAAAATATCAAATCAAACACTTAACTTTTATTTATTTTATTACACTAAAATTTAATTTTATATTCAAAACATCACATCAACACGTATTTATATCACATCAAACAATTATTTCAATTCAAAATTTTACTATTCAAAATCAAAACTCAAAACTAAAACCTCACAAGTAACTATTCAAAATCAAAACTCAAAACTAAAACCTCACAAGTAAACACACCCATGTGAATTTCCGAGCAAAACTCGATTTACAAGGCAAATGGATAGGAAACTTCGGGTATATTTGGTTTGTATTTAAATAGTGGTTGGATGTGATATTTTATGAGAGAAAATAATGTATTCTAACTAATCTCGTAAATAACAGAGCCTTGAGCCTTTTTATTTGCTAAAATGCATTTTAATCGTGTGATATTTTTTTTTTTGTCTTTTATCAGAGATATCGGGAGCCAAGGTCTAAAAGGCAGTATCAGCGACCAAATTGGCCTTTTGACTAATTTGGTAAGCCTGTAAGTATCCACTGGCATTCCGTTTCATATTTATATATATATATATTTTTTATTTATCTTGTTTTGTCCCATTGGTGCATTGGGTGAAAATGTCGATAATAATTGGTTGATGCACTAAAATATGGCACTTGGAAGAACAGAAATGTAGAGTTGCATCGAAGGAAAGTTTTGTTACTTTTGGCCATTTGAATACACTTAAGGGTGTGTTTTGTTTGGGGGATTGGACTTTAATCCCACTATTCATCTAATTTTTTTCCCCCAAAACATCAAATGAAACACTTATTTTTCATTTTTTATATTATACTAAAAATCAATTTTACATTCAAAACATCACATCAACACCTATTTATATCACATCATATAACTATTCAAATTCAAAATTTTTACTATTCAAATCACAATTTAAAATCCAAACCCCCAAACAAACACACCCTTAAAAATATGGTGTTTGAATTGTGACTATTAACATGTCCAAATGGATATTTGTTATGGTCTTCTTTCTTTGTCGAGATTTCCACGATTAATTATGATTTCATAATTTTCAAATACTTTTACTGCCTGGAGTTTTAGGTCATTTAATACCTTTTTTATATGTGTTTAACATATAGATATTTTAAATTGTTATTTTCGTCTATATGTTATATTCCCTCGAGTCCATTTTATATGTATTTGTTTACTAAGAAATTTTTAGTATTATATGCTATGCGTAATGTCTAAAGGGTTTTGGTTAGAAGTTGGCATATTAATTTGAAGCAATTAATATTTTATAACAATACAGATAACATTTGTTGTGCGGGTTATATGTTGTGCTATACTGAATAATCTGCTTATTACGTTGAAATCACAATAGATTGTGTACATAGAATTATAAAATGTGTCATGCTATATATAGTATTAACATTTTATGTGTGGATTATACATTGTGCCGTGTTATATTAATCTGCTTATTGTGATGATATTATGCTATCAAAATATGTGCAACATATTATATTAAGATATGTTGTCGGATATGTGGTTTTATTTTTATATATGTATTGATTGGATCAAATCAGTATGAACACAGTAACCAAAGTGGTGTCTAAAGTGTACGGACTAAAATAAGACGGTGGAATATTTGTCATTTAGGTGAAATGTAAAAGTATTTTATTATTCGTGTGGACGTTGTATTTACTAAATTAGGAAATAGAGGTATTGATTATGGACAAACCCGATACACTAGGATGGATACATTGATTGTGGGCGAGGGGGTACATTAATTAATACTTATATAGCACGTTGCGTTTGTAGCATTGTAAAGTTTGATTGTAGCTATTTCCATGAATGATTAGTTATTACCACTCGACAACAATAACCTTTGAGTTCATTAAATTCATAGACTTAGATGCGTATATTGTTGCCTGTTTCAGACAAGATCTGTAGTAATTTGGAGCACACAAATTTTATGTGCAGGAATTTGAGTTCCAATTCGGTGGGAGGTGAGATCCCATCGGGGCTCGGCGTAAAGTCTCTCGTGAAGCTGTAAGATCGCTAGAACACTACTTGTTTTAATTGCAAATTTTCATATTGTACTGTGGTAAGACATCATGGGACGAAGTGTTTCCATGGCGCACTTAATTTATTAATCGTATAATGTATTTTCGGACTAAAAGCATATAGGAAAGTTGAATTTGAATAGTTGTTTGATGTGATATAAATAGAGGTTGATGTGATGTTTTGAATATAAAAGAAAAATAATTGTTTGATGTGATATTTTTTTTTAGGAAAACAAAAAATCTGAATAGTAAAAACCTGTGTAAAATTCACAAAAGAACACAACTTAATGTGTTTTATTATTATTTTTTTTTGACAGGGATTTATCGAACAACAAGTTCACTGGTTATATACCCGAAAGTCTAACCTCGTCCAGCTTGCAGCTCGTGTAAGTTGTCTGAATTTCATGCCGTCATTATAAGATAATGCTGTCTGAATGAATTTCTTGAAACGTTGTTTTCTGCACAGGTTACTGAATGGGAATTCGCTCGAAGGACCCGTCCCCGACGAGCTATATTCCGTCGGAGTTCGGGGTGGCAAAATAGAGTATGCCGAGAGTTGTTATTATTTCCCGGAATTTGCATGTTTGACGAGAGTTATTATTATTATTATTTTTTATTTTTTGCAGCCTTTCTGGTAATAAAGGATTATGTGGCGTACCGTCTCTTCCGAACTGTTCATTGCTTTGGGGAAAAAACGGGAGATTGTCTACCGGCGGGAAGGTGGCAATTGGGATCTCGTGTCTCATTATTTTCTCGGCATTGCTGCTCGGGATCGTATACTACATCAAGAAACGACGCAACGACTACGATTTCGGTCTTCCAAACGAACTCATTTGTAAGTGTCGCGATCGATTCTACTATCATTTATGTTTTGACTTAAAATTATTGCGTAATTTACCCTTGTTAGCGAAAATTATGCGTAGAATTCCTATATCCTTATGCAAAATATTTTTTTACGTAATAAGGAATTATATGCGTATATTTTCATGAGCATAAAAGTAAGTTATGCAATAAATTACAGGTTATGTAAAGTATAAGGGGCTCTGTCTAGGTAGATAGAAGTTTTGGAATTTTGGAAAATCTTTAAAATAGTAAAAGATGAGTATATTTACCCTCAGTGTTAGCGAAAATGATGCTTAGAATTCCTGTATCCGTATGCAAAATATTTTTACGTAATAGGAATTATATGCGTATATTTTCAGGGGCATAATAGTAAGGTATGCGATAAATTACGGGTCATGTAAAGTATATGGCTCAGTTTAGATAGAAGTTTTGGAATTTTGAAAATTTTTTAAAATAGTAAAAAGACGAGTATGTTTACCCTCGTGTAAGCGAAAATGATGCATAGAATTCCTATATCTGTATGCAAAATTATTTTTACCGTAATAAAAGTGAGTTATTAAATTATTGAGTTATGTAATATATATTTATTTGATGTGATATTTTTTTTTTTTTTAAAAAAAATAAATATTGATGAATAGCCTCAAAAGTTTGTTTGGTTGTTAATCGAAATTGATTTGAAATAGTGTATTAATTTGAGCTATTATTTAAACAAGATTCTGATGTGATATTTTGTGAAAGAAAACAATATATTTTTATTAAAAATTGTGCAAAATAAATAGTACTGTTTAGATTTGAAATTACAAAAGAACAAATCCTTACTTTACGGGATTTTTGCAGCTTTGGCCGCGAAGAGGAACCGATACCATAGGCAGAAATCATTGATGACGCTCGAAATGGAGAGCCAACACGCGAAAGGATTCATACCTACGTACAACGTTAGCTGATCCAGTTCGATCTAATCTAATCTGATCTGATCTGATTGACGACATGAATTTTTGGTAGGGGATGAACTTCATTCGACCGATTGTGATGTAGATAGCGATGGTCCATTCGTCCCCCCGCCCGAAACAAAGATTTTTATAAAGGAAGAACAGCTATAAAGGGAGTGCAGTATTATTGCTACGAAAAGATATAGCATAGGTGACATTTTCGACTTTTTTTTACGACGAATCGGGCTAGCTCTTTCTTGTTTGTTTCTTTTTTGGGTGCATTGTATTGTATTGTATTGTATGTCCGAAAGATGTTTTTGTCCCCACAGTGTATATCATATTCGTATTTGGTAAGAACCTTCTTAATTCATTGTTAAAATTCATCTAGGAACTTCATTACACCATTTGATCATATGTTTTTTTTTTTTGGGAGAAACCCTCTTCCTTTATTATTATTATTATTATTATTATAAATCATTTTAAATAAAAATATGTATATATATATATTCCGTTCGGGATTAATAGTATCTTAATATAAAAGAAAGGGGTTGTGTTTTTTCTACATATTATTTTGCACATTTTTTGACAAAAATATACTACCTTCGTCGACGGTCAGATTTTTTTTTATAAAAATATGATTACATTAGTATTACAAGATACTAATATAAATATTTTTATCCTTTTTTTTTTTAATTTATACTACGTTTTGACGATGGACGGATATATCACATAAAAACATTATTTAAATAATAATTAAAATATAAACATCTCAAATTAATTTCAAACAATCAAATAAATCTAATATTTTTAAAAACTTATTAAAAATGTTTGGTGTAAATAATAATAATATTTTTAAAAAAAAAAATTATAGCTAATGAAATTGTAAGTAAATATATATATTTTTTATATAAATAAATTATGCATAATTTTAAATGACAATCAAACAAAAATACAGATACATCCTTTATAATTAAATAACAATGTCCATATATCCAAGGCCCAATAAATCCAATTAGGTCGCAATTCAAATAATTCGGAATAGTTTTGGATCGGGACGAATTAAAAGAACGGTATTGGAACAAGATTCTTTCATACAACTATGCTATATCAAAAATTTGGGACCGAGTTACAAGATTGTCAAAAGATCAAAATATTTTTTTCTCGGGTAAGATCGAGACAAAGATTGTGTCCCGATCGAAACTTTGGGAGGGGATTGTCCACCCCTACCCCTAGTGAATATTATTAAGTAAAACTTTGTTATGAAAACAACCTTGAATTGAGTAATAAAAAGGAATGAATGATTCTAACACATCCTCTTTATGTCTTGGAGACATTTACATAAAGTTTTTTGTGTTTGTGTTTTGCCTTCCCTTGAAAGTGATAGTTTCTTGAAGTATACAAGGAACATTCAATATATATATATATATATATATTCCACGTATTTATCTATATTTGGCATAAGAGAATATTATTCATACTGTCGCTAAAATGTTGAATTTAAAATTTAACATTATGCTGAACAATACATAATATGCTAACAAATAGTACATAATGTTATTATTAGCAGCTTATCATTCATAGTAATATAATAAAAAATACAACATACTTCCTTCGTCATTCAAATTTATGTTCACTTTTCTTTTTGGTTTCTCATAAAAAAAATATTTTCGTTTCTTTTTTAAATAAAAAATTATTATATTTTTGTATTTTTTTTCACTATAAAAAAAAAAAATAACAATTATTACTCATTTTTATTAAAATCCGTGTCCAGTCAAATAGTCTCACATAGTATATACAACAGTTTATTTTAGAACATCATATACTCCTATACATCACGCGTTGTAATTATGAATAAATAACACATGTCTTTATTGCACGCAATACATAATATATATAATAAAAATATGTGTTATTTCTATATTTTTATTATTTGAAAAATAAGTACGATGCTAATATGTAATATAATATGCTAGTCTCTCAAGAGAACATATATTTTATAATTCGCGTGATAATAAAATAGGTTTACATTTTGTTTAAAGTTATAACTCTACTATTGTATATATTCTATTTGAAGGACATTTTTACATATTATCCATTACATATTAAATAAATATCAATTTTCTTACTCTACACACATAAACATATAATTCCTCCATTCCAAAAGTATAGTCTTATTGTGTTGGACACGAGATTTAAAAAATATTAATATTATATTGATAGTCGGTAAAAAGTAAAGATAAATAACTTTTTTGCCCTTACAAGTATATTCGCGTAAAGAGTAGTGACAATTGTGTTATAATAATGAAAAAGTATGGATAATTTTATGGTGATATGATTATTTATAAAAATAAGACTATTATTTTGAGACGGACAAAAATGATAAACAAGACTGTTGTATTGAGAAGGAGAGAGTATTCAACATCTATCCCAAATATTTTGGTTACATTTAGACATGTTTTGGAATTTTGATTGGTTTTAAAATAGTTTGTGGTTAAATAAAAATCGAGTATTTGATACAAAATAAATATGTATTGAATATAATATTTTGACTTGTGAATATATATATATATATTTTTGATGTAGTACTTTAATAAAAATAAATTAATATTTAGTGTAATAGGAATATATTTTTATAAAGAATAGTTGATAATATTGTGTTTGAGTTCTATTTGAAACAAAATCATCGCTATTTTTAATAAAAAATACATTATTTATTTTATAAAATATCATATCATAATACTATTTAAATCAAAATTCAAATTAAATATCAAGTTTTAAATTAAAACCAAACAAGTGTTTGTTACTAAATTTCATTTGAAATATTACATGTAACTTATTTCTTTATTGGTGAAGAGAATATGGATTTATTCATTTATGTTTTCTAAACTTATATTTTATTATTCAATCTTTCATTTTTTCTTCTTCAAAAACTATTCTATTAAATATTTTTTATTATTATTTTTATATATATAAAAATATCATCTTAAATATTTATTTTCATTTTAAAACTTATAAATACAACAAAAATAAAAGAAATATAAAGATGAGGCATTGCATTGTCGTTATCTTCCATCCATTTGTATAAATGAAAAAACCATAAACTCTTTGCACAATACAATGCATCTTTATCTCTATCTCTATCATTTGTCTATTCTTACAATATATATATATATATACACACATATATATATATTGTGGTTTGATTTTATTTATTTATTAATATTTCTTCCTAATTTGAATTGTAATGCTCCCTTCGTCCCATAAATATAGTTTGAATTGGGTTGGACACGGGATTTAAGGAATATTGATATTATATTGGTAGTAGGTAAAAAGTGGATAAAAGACTTTTTTGCCCTTATGAGTGTATTAGTGTAAAAAGTAGTGACAATTGTCTAATAAAAATGAAAAGTAAGGGTAGTTTGATGGTGATATGATTATTTATGAAAATAAGACTATTGTTTTGGAACGGACAAAAATGATAAACAAGACTATTGTATTGGGACAGAGGGAGTATTTTATAAGAAAAAATAGTAATACCTCTCTAAGAGTTTCGTCTATTTTTCGCATGTTGATATTTGAATATTAATTATATGAAAATTTAGTACAAATCAAGAGAAAATAACAAAAATAATTCCGTTAGTGTCTTAAAATACTATTATAATGACATTTGTACAAAAAAATATATAAATATAAATATATTTTTAATATTAAATACAATGACATAAAAAGTAAATGGGATCCTAGAGCCGGACGGAAGGAATATATTTTTATAAAAAAAATTACGATAGTTAATTATATAGTAAAAATACATAAATCAAACTCCTAAAGAACAAAATCATACTTATTATTCATATACTACACCATATATACACATTTATATATATATATATATATGTATTGTAAGGATTGAATGAATGAATTAAACCATGTTTTTGATTTAGATCAAAGTGTTCGTTGTGTGTTTATAAATGGAAAAATTAAAGTCATATATATATATATATATATGACACCTACATTAATGGCATCATGGTCCCGATCGAGCTCTCGATTGTTCCCCGAAAGCATAATACACAATCGCTCGCTCGATGTTGATGTAGCACATTTTTTGGATCGGAGCTAATCGAACGAGTATACATTACACACGAATATATGTATCTATATACGACTTTGTATTTGTGTGTTTATAGCTCTGGTCTCTTTGAGATTTTATAATTTCAATTTATTTACTATGTAATTATCGTAATTTTTTATAAAAGATATATATATATTTTTTTTATTAATGCTACGAGTTTGTTTGTCCATAATTTTTTTTTTCGATACAATTATCAATATATATATATTACTATACCTCACCTAAAAGAAAAAATAAAAATAAATTGAAGAAAATCACTAAACAAACAAACCCTACATTTATTCGTTGTTTAAATACAATACAACAACTATCCCTATATGTATATCGAGTTTTTATATGATCAAGTTGCTCGAAACCTCAACACTTTTGCAATTATTTATTTATTTAAAATGTGTCAATTTTTTTTTTATATTTTATTATTATTATTATTATTATTTAATTTTATATTTTCTATGTTCAGAGTAAATTTTCTATTTGTCATTTGAGTCTCTCTAGATCAAAATTATAAACAGTTAGGATCCCATGTTTAATATTAGCTCACCACCGGCTGAATACTTAAAAAGATAATTATTCTTAATTAATAAAATTAATAATATAATTAATATAAATATATATAATTAAAAAAAAAAAAAACAAAAACAAAAGGAAAGGAAAAAAAACTTCTTCAATTAACAAACCCAAATTTGCAAGTCAATTATGCTGACCAACTTTAGTATTGTAATTAACATTTAGCTGCATACTGAGCTCACGTGCCGCAAATGAAGAGACACGTGTCGGCTTATGCTCATGACTTCAATGTGTAACCGTTTGTCGGCGAGGCTTTCTCGTATATACTATAGATAGTGAATACATCGAATTTCAACACCAAAATACATACGATGTAATTATTTATTTATTTATTTACGTTAATTTTAATTTTAATTTTAATTTAATATAATACCCGTCCGTCTACGAAATAACGATTCTATTTTTTTATTTGGAATGTTCAACGATTTTTTTTTATTTTTATAAACAAAATTTACTTTTATGTCTTTACTTTATTTACTCTTTTTTTTCTCTATACACAAAATTAAGAACAAATTTGTTATTTTATAACAAAAATTCTAATTACCTAAAAATACTAGTAAATATCAAATGAAAATTAAAAAAATGGAAGAATGAAATATTTTGTGAAAAAAAATAAAATATTTCTATAAAATAATTAAGGATGTATGTTTGTTTGCTCAATATATATTTTTTATATAAATTTTAATATATATATTTTATCTTTCTTACAAAAGTTAATATTCAATATTGAACATTATTATTTATATTATTCGTAGGATTCCTTATACCATCCGTAAAAAAAATTATTTCAATCAAAACAATAAACAAACAAACATTGATTTCTTTTTCTTTTTTTTTTTTTTTGAATTTTGAATTTTTCTAAGGTAAAAATAGTAATTTCATATTGTTTTTAATGTAAAAATAAGATTGTTTGATTGGTGCTTGAAATTTTTATTTGATTTTTAATTTAAATAGTAATTAAATATAACTAATTTTTGTTAGAATTTTAATGTATTGTATTTTCTCATTCTGTCTTAGATGATCTATTTAGTTAAGAATAAGATATTTTAAATAGTATATATTAGTAAATTATTAATAATAAATATTATATTATATGAATAATGTTATTAATATTTTAAATATTTTTAACATTATATATCAATAAAATATATATAATATAAATATTATTTTGTAAATATAAAATTTCATACAATACAAAAGAAATATTGTTTATTTATAATTAACTTAAATATAATTTAATAAAAAATAAAGAGTTTTAAATATAAATAAAAATATTTGTTGATTGAGGAGAAATATGGAATTAAGAGATTTTTAAGTGGGTCTCATGTATAAGAGAAGTTAAAAATTTAATTAAATTGATTCATATTTATTAAATATGTTTAAAACGAATAAATTTATTAAAAAATAAAAATGAAATATCTTTTATGGAAAAAACAAAAAAAATAAAATAAAATGAATGATATGTGGTTCTCCCTCCGTCCCACTACAAAGTGGTCCTTTCGAGTTTTGTAATTGATGAATAAATAATAGTATTTTATTGGTTAGTGAAAATATAGAAGAAATTTTGATATTTTTGCACTTTAACGTTAGTAATCATATGTAATTGTATGTTTGTAATTTAGGAAGAAGTTCAGTGTATTTTTGTATTAATATATAATTATTTTTAGTAAAATATAAAAGAAATATTTTGGAGTGAAACAAACTAAAATAATAAAGAAAATACTATCTCTATCCTATAACATGAGTAACATTTATTTTTTTGCATAAATTTTCAAATATTAGTATTATATTGATTTGTACTGAAATGACAAAAATATCCTTATTTGTAAGGCTTAATATAAAAATATTGTTATTTGTATAATTTATTTTAAGTTGTAAAGATATTTATAATGTTAAGTAAGTAATATAATTATTTTTAAAAAATGATACTCTTTCAGAATGAATAAAAATAGAAAATAGAATTATTTTATTTTTTTTATTACTACCCCCGTCCCATATACCGTGTCTGCTACATTGTAGACACGGTATTTTAGGAGGGATGTAATTAGTAGATAATTAAGAATGTATTAGTGAAAATAATTATAAATTAAGATTAAGATAACTAATTAGTTTAATTAAAATTTTTTTAAAAAATAAAAATTTTAAAATGAGATTAAAGTGTATAATCATTTTCCAAAAAAAGAAAGTGACATGGTACGTGGGACGGACAGAAACGGCAACATGGACATGGTATATGAGACGGAGGGAGTATTTTTTTCTCTATGAAAAAGAAAAATATTTTAACTTGAAAGAAAAAGAGTATGAAACAAGGAAGATACTTTTATAAAAATAAGTAATAAAAATAAAAATATGAAATTCAAATAAAACATAACCTCTCATATATCAAAATTATGAAAATGATTAGAGTGCTTAATTGTAAAAGTTAGTACGATTTTGAATTTTCAAATCAGTACCCGTAATATATACAAAGAGCAGACAATCTTGTATACAGTAATGACAAGTAATATTACTTTATAATTATAGTGTGATGTATATGGTGCACTGAAATCAATTAGTATTTATAGGGTGTGTTCGGTTGAGAGATTTGGACAAAATCTCACTATTCATCCAAAATTTTCTCCCCAAAAATATCAAATCAAACACCTATTTTTTATTTTTTATATTATACTAAAAATCAATTTTACATTCAAAACATCACATCATCACCTATTTATATCACATCATACAACTATTCAAATTCAAAATTTTTACTATTCAAATCCCAACTCAAAATCCAAACCCCCAAACAAACACACCCATAATGTATAAGACTATAGCATATGCTGTCAGTTCATGTGTTGTATTTGTGTTGTTGGTTCATAATTACAAGTATGTTGTATAACAGTATATGATGTGCTGAAATCAATTATTGTTTATATTGTATAAAATTATAACGTGTATTATTAGTTTATGTGCTATATTTATATTATATGAATGAAGATATGCTGCTGATACTAACATCGTGTGCTGCTATGTGTTGAGCCGTCCAAAATTATATTTTAACTTAAATAAAGTCTTACTATTTCATACATCATCGCTCTTTCTATATATATCCACTCACAACAACACATTCGACAATTCCTACGTTTCCATTCCCACCTTCTCCACCCCTCCTCGTCCCATCGAACAAATACATAAAAATTAAATTAATCTATTAAATTAATTAATTTATGGAGAGCAGCGCCGCCAGCGTCGTCACCGCCGACGGCGCCGACGCCGAGTCGCGTAAGCCGCAGCCGTCGCGATTCAAAGGCGTCGTCCCTCAGCCCAACGGCCGGTGGGGGGCCCAAATCTACGAGAAGCACCGCCGCGTCTGGCTCGGCACTTTCAACCTCGAAGAACAGGCGGCGCTGGCCTACGCCACTGCCGCCCTCCGCTTCCGCGGCCGCGACGCCGCCGCCAATCTCAGGCCGCCGCCGCCGGCCGCCGACGAGCACGAATTCAATTTCCTAAATTCACACACCAAATCAGAAATCGTCGACATGCTGAGAAAACACACCTACGCCGACGAGCTCCATTACAGCCGTCGGACCATCTCCACCACCGATCCGACGTTGGATAACAATTCACCTTCAATCGCCGCCACCCCGGCGGCGCCGGAGCACCTGTTCGAGAAATCGGTGACGCCGAGCGACGTCGGAAAACTTAATCGGTTAGTAATTCCGAAGCAATTTGCAGAGAAGCACTTCCCTCTCCAAATTGGGGGCGCCGGCGACGCCATTAAAGGCGTTCTGCTGAGCTTCGAAGATCGGAGCGGGAAGGTATGGCGGTTCCGGTATTCGTACTGGAACAGCAGCCATAGCTATGTTCTGACGAAAGGATGGAATCGATTTGTGAAGGAGAAGAATTTGCAGGCCGGAGATACGGTGAGTTTCCGGCGATCGGGAAAGCGGCTGTACATTGATTGGAAAGCTCGCCGGAGGAGTGGACCGCCGGTTCGGACCGTCCGCCTGTTTGGTGTTGATATATTGGAAACCGCCGCCGTGCACGGCGGCGGTTGCGGCGGAAAGAGGGTGATCGGAGAAATGAATGGTGTGGGATTTGGTTGTGGGAAGAAGGCGAGGATTTTCGCCTTGTGACATCTAATTTTTTCTATAATTAATTTATTGTGTTTTGTGAAAATAGTGTTTTTATTTTTTTAAAATTATGACCTAGGAATTCAAATTAGTAAATGTGAGCAGATGAATTTTCCGGTGAATCTAATAGTTTGCAAATTAGATCCGTAAATTATATGTCTTTAATGTATTGGAGTGCTTTTTATTAGTATTTTGGTCTTTATACGTAAATAAAATAATAATTTTTTGATAATTAATATATAGGGACATGTTAAGATATTAATTAGACACTACATTGATTAACTATTGTCAAAGTAGATGTGACAATATCGGGTCGGTTCGGTTCGATTTATTAGGGTCGGGACAGACCCGGCCCGGTTGAATGATTTAGAAATTGAAATGGTAATCTATCAATAATAACACAAGACTTTAACAATTAGATTATACTTCAATTCTTTATGTATATTTATTTCTTAATATATGCATAAATATATTTATTGTAAATATATTTAAATTATAAAATTGGGCTGGACTAAGTATGGCCTGATTTCTTTGGGCCCAGGCACAACCCAGTTTACTATTGTGCTGGGTTAGTCACGATTCGAAAATTTTTGAATCTATTTTTTTAGGTCGAAGCACAGTCTTTTTGTATCGGATCGAATTTTTGGATCGTCAATATGTGGCGGGATTGGCGGTCGGCAACATGTTAATCTTCCGGTTCCGATCGAAGGTGAACTGGCTGGTCAAAAGAGCATAATCGATAGGAATTTTCTTAGTGAGAATTTCTATGTGGGGATACATAGTCGTTTATTTCATTGATTATGAACTTACCGAGTTGCTCATTTATCTCTTAATTTCTATGGTAATTTATTTGTCATTTTTTTCTTGTTGCAGGCGTAATTCTCATTGTATCATATTCAGATCACAACCCGTGAGGCCGGTTTAATTCTGGTATGTTGTTGATGGTTTTTTTATTTTTTCTTCATATGCAATATTAGAATGAATCCATGTTGAATTTCTTCAGTAGATTTGTTTTGTAAGGTATGTGTTGGGTGTCGAAAGGAAGTTTTTTTACGTGAGGTAAAAGAGAATTGTATAGAAAATATAAAAGTAATGAATGAATATATGTAATGTATTAATTTTTTCTTTTATTTACTCTCTCTCTCACCTCGATCTATTTTTATTTTTTAATTATCTAAATGTAGTCATTTTTTAAGTAAAAAATATATTTTTTCTATTTTTTTACTCGAAAAAAAATATTTTTTTATCTATGTTTTTTAAAAATGTATCTGATCAAATGAGCATATCGAAGAGTTCATTCGTGTATATATATGCAGAATCTACTATCAATGTCTCAGTATCACTAGTATTAGCAATTTTTTCTATATTGGTTTTTTAGCACATTATTACGAGTGAAATATTATTTTTTCAAAACATATTAGAGGTCGTGGCACTTGCTATGATTTGGATGATTTATATTGGTCTTTTTAGTGAGACTATATTATTTATATGGGTGGTACAAAATTTCATTATGTGTTTTTGATAAGAGCAGTCTCGGACTTTTTCGAAACCCTGAGAAAAATACAATTTAGGCCTTATAAACACACGATTAAATATATTTTTAAAATGATACCAATGACATTAGTGTCGGGTAGACAAGAAGTTTAAGACAACGGTCTGACGACGATTTTGATTCGGAAGAAAAATATGAAAATCAAACTGATGGCGCTTCGTTTGGAGGTTCAAATAGTGATAAAAACTGAAAGAATGTGAAAGAGAAAGTAGAGAGAGAAGTGAGTTTGGTTTGAGTGGATGGACGCAGCGCAGCAATGACGTGAAAGAGAAGAGGTGTAAGCGACAATTGAATTTCGAAAGATATAGTTCGGTGTGGTTAAAAAGAAGAGATTAATAATAATAATTATTATTATAATAATAAAGAGGTAAGATTAATTTCAAAGTTTAATCTTAAAATTAAATTGAATAATAATAATAAATAAATAATAATAAATAAATGATAATGAGCTAATATTTTTTTTTTTAGAAAAAAAAAAATCTCTTAATAAGCAGTTGCTCACCCTACTCCTATTAATAGTTGAGATTGATAATATAAACTAGAAATTAAACCTTAATTTGTTAAACTAAAAAAATTACGAATTAAATACAAATAATTCATAATTTCATAGGTCTGCTTTTATATATATATATATACAGGGGCTCGCAGTAGAAGCATAGTAACTAACTGATCAATGCCTAATTTATAGAGGGCCAATATTTTAAATTATTATTCATTATTATTATTAAATTTTAAAATTAAAATTACTTTTTAGTTTATATTTTTTTTTTCTTTATAATTATCCTATTTAATTTTAAAATTAAATTTTAAACTCTAATCATATAATTTTTTTTCTATTTCTTTCTTCATATCTTTTCAAATTTAATGGTCGTATACACTTCTTTACCTCACACCATATCGCATTGCTCCCACCAACTCAGACCAAGTCTGCCTCACTTTCTCTTTTATCTCTTTTATCCTCTTTCAGTTCTTCTTGTTTTTCGAATTTTCGGGCACATCGTCTTTCATCTTTTTTTTTTTTTTTTTCAAATTGACATTGTTCAGGCGATCACGTTCAACATCTTGTCCAATCGACGCTAATGACGGCCCTTTCTCTCTCTCTCTATATATATATATGGTTCGACAAGAGTTTAATTGCATGACGTTGTTGGCAACACTAGAAGCTTTAGCGTCATGTATTGCCTCGTTACAAACCCAATTAATTTTGTTGTGCTTCTGCTTCCATAGGTTATTTTCCATGTTTGATTTTCTATGGAATTATACTTCAGTACGAATTTGACCCTTAAATCATACTCCCTCTGTTTCGGATATGTTGTCCCATTTAGTATAGACACGATAATTTATGATGAGTATAATTAGTAAATAATTAAAAATATCTTAGTATAAATAATTATAATTTAATAAAAATAATTGTAAAATAACATAATAATTAATATAATTAAAATTTATAAATTATAAATTAAAAAATTTAAAATAAAATTAAAATGTATAATATTTTTCCCAAAAAAATGACCAAATAAGTGGAACAAACAGAAATAAAAATATGGACAAGGTAAGTGGGATGCAGAGAGTATTTATTTGTACAGGAGTGTTGTTAATTGTTTGTTTTGAGTGATAAATTGATAGGCTTGGATATAAAGTTTTCAATTATTGTTAAAAAATTTTATTGTTTGATCATGTTTTTGCATATGCATGTTATTAATGTGGATTTATTTTATTTATTTTGTCTTTTACGGCCAAAAATAATAAGTTAGGGGATTCTTCTACCTCTGCCCAATTCGATCGTGGTGGCCATTTGCAGACACAGTTTTGGGGGTTTATGTTCAACGTCTCTGTATCTATCCGTTAGAAAGTAAATGTAACTTATGTAAGTGATTCTTTTGATTTGTTTAAGTTCTCTCCTTTGAAAAGAAATAGTTTGATACTAGTAAAAATGTATAATTGAAAATTGAAAAATAATTTGTAGAAATATCATGAACAATTTTTTATGTTGAGAAATTAGACTATGATAAGAAATCTTTTGTTTGAATTCTTGATCCCTCTCATTCCATATCATTGGAATTGTAACGAGGAATAAGATAGATATCAATGTAAGTTATCACAATCCATTTCTATTTCATCGTATGATAAAATGAAAAAAAATAATCTCTAATAATATACTTCTTCTGTCCAGTTAGAAAGTATACATATTTCTATTTTAGGACGTCGAATTACAAAATAACTATTTCATTAAATACCTTATTTTTTCCATAAATACCCCTATTTTGCATCACATCATTACTTCTATACCCAAGTAAAGGCAAAAATGTTATTACATTATTTTTATCTGCCTACTATAACTAAAATACCATTATTTCTTAAACTCCGCGCCAAAAATAAATGTATACTTCTTGCTTGGACGGAGGGAATATATAAGATTTGGGTATTAATATATATATATATATTTTTATCTTTGTAAATAGATATATATATATATCATTTAGGTATTAATACATCCTTAATCTTTCTGATAAAAAAAAACCTTTCAACCCAACAACATCGGCACCAGGGCACCAGAGCATCTAAAGAGTTGAGTTAGATGATGAAGATGTCTTGTTTCGGATAATATTGAGAGTAGCAAGCTTCAACAAACGATTTGCGATGTCGGGTTTTTAATAGCTACTCGAAAATATCTTGGCATTGTTTGAGACTAGCCATTCCCGGGCCTGAATTTCTAGGCTTGATGTAAAATTAGGAGCCTGTCAGATACAAAATAAAATTGAACCGGATGAATCCAAAATTGCCAGCCCTAAAAGTAGCCAATATCATTTACTTCATTTTTGTCATGGTTAAGAAAATATCATTACATGCACTCAATCTTTCATAGGTATCATAACCACTAAATTTGTTTAGAATAAGAGTATGAGCAATTGAAAGCAAAATGTTGTGTTCCAAGGTGGATATATTAGTTGGTGTTGAAATTTGGCCCGATCCGTTGCAACACAACCCTATAACTCGGAGCCGATTCTATAACTCCAACCTACCTGTGCTGTTAAATCCCTCTCATCTCTTTCCCTACGGTTAAAAAATAGATTCAATTAGGCAATTCTTTTCTTCTTCTTAGCGTAATTTTTTAGTGGGTATGTAGTTTAATCATTTTCGTTATTCAATCCTTCTGGTAAATCGTTCCTTTCTACGTGTTCTTTATGAGTTTTTTGGAAAATTGGTCGATTAGTCGTGTTATGATTTTATAAATCAAGTCCGTAAGTTTAGAGTTTGTTTGAAGACGGTTGAATTAGTCCTAATTGAGTCATTCATATTAATATGATAAAATATTATTCGACTTTATTAAACTAAAAAGCAATTAATATTAATATATACCTATCTTAAATTTTACGCTAATAACAATTCCTTTTTAATTTTAACTGAACCAGAAAAAACTACATTTAAATGACGGCCTTCCTTTATAGTAATCAATCAATCGGATTCCCAACAAGATAGGATCCACAAAGCTAAATGAACATATATATACATAATTAAAAAACAAACTACTAAAGTAAGTAAATAAATATAGTCAACAATGGAGAAAACAAACTGAACACGATAGACTGCATATAGGGATGTCAACGGGGCGGGTTCGGGACGGGTTTTACAGACTCTGAAAACCGCCCCGTTAGAAAATATTAGGACCCAAGACCCGCCTCGTCCTGCTTCAACATGGCCCCAGGACCCGTCCCGCCCCAAATCTTTTGGGTTCGGGGCCAACCTGACAAACCCTCGTTTTTTTTTTTAAGAAAAGAACAAAATATATATTTGTTTAAATAATTTAATACTAAAAAAAAGTATGCATCAAAGTACCAAAAAGTTATAGTTTTAAAAACAATAAAATATTGACAATAGTTCGCATTGATTCAACAGTAGTCTCAATTATAAAAAGAATTGTAAGAGAAATAAATGCAAATACAAATTTGATTTAAAATTAAAGTTCTATTTTATATTTAATTTTTTTTAAATAAATAAATAATATATTTTATATTGTATAAAAATAAATAAATTATAATAATTATTAAAATATCCGGGTTTGGGTCCGGATGCGGATCCGGGGAGGGGCGGATTTTTAGGAAAACCCATAACCCACCCCAAATCAAATTTTTTAAACCCAAACCCTCCTCAGTAAGACAAAAATCAAAAACAAAAAATCAATATCCCCTCCCAACTACCTACCTCAAGAATCAGATGCAGTTCATCATCATCATCATCGCATGCAATTGCAAGCTGCAAGAACTGATACCGATAGTATCGTGTGGATATTATTACGCTCGAATACCATCTCGTCCCATTCCCATTCCCGTCCGATCAAACAAACAAATCCAGACACCATTGGGACGCAACAATATCTAATCCAAAATCCTATCCTTACAACAGATTTGACACAACCAGACTTAACAAGAACACAGATACTGTCTGAGTTTGATCGTAACTATGAGCTTCAAGGCTCCAACCATTGCCAATCTACACTACAAAACAAACAATTAATCGATTCGAAATAAACAAATACAGAGCATATGGATCTTCAAAGAGTTATCAACTATTTACCTCAGAACAAGAAGTTAGTATGAATCATCATTCTTTTAACACAAACTAAAATACCAAAAAACAAATTTATCAAACACAAAACAAACCTCAAACATATTCTATTTTCATGTGTCCAGAAAGACATTTTCTGACCAAAATCTAACATTCAAATATAGCCATTATCACTCATTTTCACTTATCAACAGAAGCGCTCTCTTGAGCAGATTCATCCCGTAAAACGAGGGATATGGATGCAATAAGAAAAGGCGACCACATAAGTGGATTCAAAATCAACCATATACTGACCAGCCACCGGTGTCCCAAATCAATTGGAAACGAAGTCACATATACGCCAAGCGAGATCCAGACCCAGTAGATTCCCATCAGTTCGGCTGCATTGGCTAGGCGGTTCGTCTTCTTCCCGAACAAAATGATTAACGCGCCGCCGGCGAACAATCCCACCAGCGCCGCCGCTTCCACCACTCCCAGCTTCTTTTCCACTACCGCCGCTCTAACCACTCCAAATATCAGCGTCATTATCGACCAATTCAACGTCACCTTTTCGAATCCAGCATTGCGCACAGACACCACAATCACATCGGCGAATGTCGTTCCTTCAACTCCCTCCATCGGAAAAACTTGGGGAAGAAGAAACCGTAAACTTCAGCGGTTTTGGAATTTTTTTAGGGTGCGTTTGTTTGGGGTGAGATTTTGAGTTTGAATTTGAATACTAAAAATTTTGAATTGTAATAGATATATGGAGATATAAATAAGTGTTGATATAATATTTTGAATGTTAAATTAATTTTTGATATAATATAACAAATAAAAATGAATTTTTAATTTGATGTATTTTAAAGAAAAAAATTAAATGAATAATGAAAATTTGTGGAAATGCCCCCAAAGAACACACCCTTAATGGAATTTAAATAATAGTCCTTTCGTCCAAAGTCCAAATAACAAGTATACATTTACTGGAGTTTAACAAATAATATAATAGACAGATAAAAGTAGTGTAATGATAAAGTAAGACTATTTGTGAAAAAAATGTGAGGTATTTAATTAATTGGTTACTTTCAAATTAAATATGTCAAAATAAAAATATGTATACTTTCTTACCGGATGGAAAAAATAAAAAATTTTGAATAAAAATAATTAATAATAATAATTTAATAAAATGTAGTAAAAAATACACCCTAAAAAAATTAAGGGATATCTTTTATATATATATATATATTATAGTATTTTATTAATATTAAAACAAAAACGGACTAATTTGAATAAGGTGGCTTGTTTATGGTTTCGAATTTATGTCGTCTACCAAAAGTACTACTATTACTGTTTTTATGAAATAACACATCCAACTATTATTTTATTTATTTATTTTAGAACAACAATCATAAGTAAAACATAAATAAAACCTTTTTTTATTAAAAAAAAAATTGGTAAAATATGTGCTTTGTGGTCGGAGGTTATTTATTTAATTGATAATTTTTTTTATAATATTATAAATTTAAAATATATATCTAAATATTTTAACACCATATTTTTAATAGATATGGTAAAATATTATCCGACTTTATTAAACTAAAAATGAATTAATACTAAAATATATATTGAACTACAATTTTACATTCAAGAGCCGAGCCCAACTGTTAAATTGTTATCTTTGTCTTCATAATACAAAAAATTATGTGAATTTAATTAGCTAACACTTTGCATACATGCAATATTGACTAGTTAAATTAGTATATATATATATATATATATATATAAAAGAGCCGGCAATGGGTTGATTAATGTCGGGTTCGTGTCAGATTGAATACTTTAAATGGGTTAAATTATTCAACCCTAATTCGACCCGTTTATTATCGTGTAGGGTTTGAGTTTCTTGATTTATATTAATAATTTTTTGTTTTATTGTCGTGTTATGTTAGTTTTTTAAATTATTAAATTATTATTATTTTACATATATAATGAATATGAAATATCTTGGAGATAAACTTGGGGTATGTTTTTTTTTTTTTTTTTTTTTCAAAAGTGAACTCTGCGTTTTTAAAAAAAAATTATATGTTTTTCTCTCACAAAATATCTTATTATATATTATTTTAATATAAATTTAAATTAAAATTTTTTCAAACTCATCAAAAGAAACACATTCATACTCACAGTTACGGGTCCTTTTGTAAAGAAGGATTTTGATATTTCAATTTAAAATCAATTAGAGGTAAATAAAATAGCTTTTCACTTTTTTTTTTTTAATAAGGTAATTTTTTTTTATTAGGTAACAGAGTCTCAACATTAGGATCCACACAGCTAAATAATTAGCAATACATACATACACAACTAAAAAACATACTTCCAAGTAAATATTCTCAGCTAGGGATGAAAAAATTTATAGAACATACCGACTTATCGTACCGTATCGTGTCGAAAATATAAAAAATTTTGGTATACTGAAATTTTCGGTATAGTATCGGTATGAATTTTCAGAGAGTTCGGTATTTCGGTATGATACCGTACTGATATTATTTTTATTAAATAATTTAATTATTAATATAAATAATAATTATTAATTTTATAAATCATAACAAAAAAATATGTAAATTATTGAAAATTTATTGTTTTTCTTTCATAATATTTTTGTGGTGGAGAATAGTGATATTCATTAATTTTTTTAAATTATTTTGAAATTTAAAATTATATTTTCGGTATAATCGGTATATACATGTATCTACCTAAATCAAAATTTTCAGTATAAGCGGTATATACCGGTATCGTACCAAAATTGAAATTTTCAGTATAAACGGTATATATCGGCACCAAACCGAAACCGAGTTTCGGTACGGTATCTATTTTCGTCGTACCGAAAAATTCGGTACGATATCGGTATCGGCTGGTATTTTCAGTACGGTACGCTATGTCGTCTCTATTATCAGCAATGGACAAAAGACAAGCATAAAATAATACAAATAAAAATAAAATTCTCAATGCCTGTCGGGCCTAGTTTGCAAAATATTAGATTCGGTTGGGGGTTTACCCAATTCGCATTTTCGGGTAGCGATTGTAAATTCCCACGTTATAAAAATAAATAAATAAATAAAATCCCAATGTATATGCCAAGTAACGTTTACTTAACGGACAAGGCATAACACAGGGTGCCACGCAAATATCTTTGGCGCAAGGAGAACTAAAACTGCAAAAAAAATTTCATTTACCCTTATGAGACTAAAATCAAATTCCGAAATTAAAAAATAATTTATGTTTTATTTTTATTTTTTGGTACTATTTGATTATATATATATTTTTAATAAAAATTATACTATTTTGACTTTACTGCATATTACATTTTATTTATATTAAAAATTTTAAAATTTTACAACTTTCTTAAAAACTGCACAAATTTGATCTTACATTGTATTTAATTTATTATTCAAATAGTTGGATCTCATTCACTAAAATATCTTTTGCCCTATTTATTATTTTCTCTTAATCATCATTTATTGTATTTATTTTAATATTTATTTTATCAAATATCAAAAATAATAATAATAATAAAATTATTTTCTATTTAAATATTCAATTCTCCAACTTGGCTAATATGCATCCGTCAGCTTCCGCAGTTGGACTTTTATTTTTAAAAGTAAAAATTACCAAAACTAATAAAAATTATTTGTAATAAAAACTAAAATATAATAAGGGTGTGTTTGTTTCTAGGTTTGGATTTCTCAGCTGTAAAAATTTAAAATTTAAATAAATGATTAATTTAATATAAATAGATGCTAATACAATTTTTAAAATATAAATTAATTTATAATATAAAATAAAAAATACATAATTATTTAGTTTGAGATTTTTTTAAAAAGAAAATAATACGAAAACGTGCTGTAAGACTTAGAAAAGAACATAAAAAAAATTAATTTTGATCTCAATATAATTAAAATTTATCAATTTCGGTCTCAATATAAAAAATTCATCAATTTTGGTCCAAATATAAACAATTTAATCAATTTTTGTCCCATTATAAACAATTTCAATCAATTTTGGTTCCACAATTAAAAAAAACTAACAGAAATTGCTGGCGTGGACATTAAGAAGGTGACGTGGCAGTTGACCTAGAAAGTACATGACCATGTGCAATTATATACGGTCATATTGTTACATGATCATATATATTTCAGTGTATAATTATACATGGTCATGTTGTTACACAGACATCTTGTTACATGGCCATGTATATTTCAGTGTATAATTATACACGACCATATTGTTACACGACAATGTATAATTCTACATGGCCGTGTACCTTTCTGTTTCGGTTTAAAATTTTAATTTTTTGTTATATTTTTTTATTTTTATTTTTTGAATTTAGAATAGTTGATAGAGTTAAAATGAAAAGAAAAAATCAATAATAATCATAATATAATTAAAAAAGTTCTTTCGGAAGATTTTGTCTAAAATTATTCTATTTAGCAAAAATATTTTTTTTACAAACACCCAATTAATGTATTGAAATAATAAATTAATTTTTAATACTACTATAATATACAAAATTAAAAAATAGTTTGTTTAATTGGATGTTTGTAAGAGTTTTTATGAATAATAAAATTATAGACAAAATCTTTCAAAAGAATATATTTTATAAATTTTTATATTTGAATTGAAATTGATAAATTTTAATTATATTATAATTACTATTGATTTTATCTATTTTAACTATATCAACTATTTTAAATTCAAAATAATTTTTTTAAAAAAAAAATAAAATATAACAAAAAAATAAAATTTTAAACTAAAATAGAAATGTACATAACCGTGTATAATTGTACATGACCGTGTAACAACATGACCATGTATAATTATATACTGAAATATACATGATCATGTAACAACATGGCCGTGTACTTTCCAGATCAACTGTCACGTCACCTCTGTTATGTCACATCAGCGGTTTTTGTTAGTTTTTTAATTGTGGGATCAAAATTGATTGAAATTGTTTATAATGAGACTAAAATAGATTGAAATTGTTTATATTCAAACTAAAATTAATAAGTATTTTATATCTAGACAAAATTGATAAATTTTAGTTATATTGGACCAAAATTAATGTTTTTCGAAAAAGAACACGTACAATTTTTTTATAATGTAACAAAACTTTAACGGACCATCTATGATTTTTTCTCCCTTTCTTTTTGACTTGCAAATTTGGTTCAGTTCAATGAAGAGCTCCCTGCGCCAAAACCTAACCCCCTAAGACTCCGCAGCTGCAGCGATCAATCAATCAATCGGAGGAACGTGATCGGAGACGGCGAAGATCGATCGGAAGGACTGGAACTTCTGCGATAATTTTCCGGCGACTTATGGTACCGAAGCAGCTGATTGTGGCCGTTGAAGGCACGGCCGCCCTTGGCCCCTACTGGAAGACCATCGTCTCCGACTACCTCGACAAAATTATCCGGTTTGCTTCCCACATTTCCTTCACGTCGACAAATTTTATTTATTTATTGCTTAATGAAAAATTAGTGATTTAGGGTTTGATTTGGCGGTTTCCTAATTATTGGCCTGCTTGCTGTGGGTATGGGTATGAGTGTGTAATTGAAATTCCGAAACAGGAATTGTTAATTAGTTGAATTTAAGAACACGAACATATGCAATTGTGGTTTTTAGCGGTGGCGGAGGAGGTTTGGCGTGTGTGATTATGCTTGATTATATATATATGTATGTATGTATGTATGTGTTTTATCACTTTAGATTCATTTGTGTACATATTGATGAATATTGTTTTGGTATCTGAGAGTAATTCTTTGGCTATTTAGATTGCCCCCTGGAAAATGGAAATTGTATATAATGTTGTGCCATGGGATATTATTAATTATGTTTTCAAGATTTGGACTTGCAGTAGAATGAGTGGTTGCATTTTCGATTACTGGTAACTTGTAAATGAAATTTTCAGTGAAGTGACATAAAACCCCTTGTTGGAAGGAATCCTGGCGAAAACATACAGATAAAGCTATGATCTTTAATCTTTGATGTAGAAATCATGAAGCTAAAAACTGTCAGAACAACATCCGGAATGTTCTGATTTAGGAGTTCACACATGGAATGGAAACTCGGAGAAAGTAAAGATAACTTATATTGCATGAATGTTGGGTGGGGTTCCTTACAGCTTAGGATTCTTTTTATAAAAGCTTTATCTGTAAATAACAAGTTGAGGACAAAAAAGTGCATAGTTACAGTAATTGCAGTAAAATGCTCGAACTTACGGTTAACTCACAAAGCAGTGAAACTGGTTTAGTTTCTCAGCTAAAAAAATACTTAGTTGTCTTTATTCATCCTATTGGTTTTTTTCGGCAAGCTAGTTTTTTAACGGGCCCATGCTTAAGTTGATGGCAGCTCATTAATTATTGTTTAAGTGTCTAGCTTCCACACAAGGATAATTAATACGGTTCCTCCCCATTGCACGTTCAACTCTTTTGAATACGCATTTTTAAAGAGGACTTGTAACAACCTATGAATTCCTCCCTAGATCTTAATGGTGCGTGCTCTAGTAAATTTTCAGGAACTAGGTTCATTTTTCCTTTGACAATAAAATTTTGTATTCACCACTGAGGCCTTTGTATCGACATTATGTTTGATGGAACGTATGCTGGGAAGTGGATAAGTTTTCAATTTCTGAATGAAGTGTTTGTGTTAATTTTGGCTATAATGCTCTTGTTCAACAATATTAGTCATTTTAGACTTACACGGTATTTACAAAAATTATTATCAAGAAAATGAGCTAGTAATTAAATTGTTCTGTCACATTCCAGAGAAATTAAATTATAAGAAGGTTACGAGAGGTGGTAACTATTGTATTGGAAGTATAGAATGTTTTAGGTGAAAAAACTCTACAATGGTTGATATCGTGGAATGGAGATGGAACAAAGTAGAGAAGTCTATTGGAAATGTATAATTTTTGCCAACTGTTGTCTTGTAATCATATAATCAAATAAATTGTTAGTTCACAATGAGAATAGTGAAAGGTTACCTCTTCTTGAAATTTATATTCCTTGATTACTTTTGCTCACAATCCATTTCACCAAAATTAGGCACTAGGGAGTTTCATCTGTGGACATTAGTTAGGTTTTACTGATGGGTAAAATTTTGAGAGCCGAGCTGAAGTGCTGGCCATTTGAAATTTTGGGAAATCCTTTAAATGGAGAACCAGTGGGCAGAATGAATATTGATTTAACATACGATATGGCTGTGGATTATTTTTTTTTTTTATTTTTTGGATGATACTTATGATGTGCAGCCATGCAAAATGACACTATCTTATAATGCAAAATTTCATAGGATATCCATTGCCACTGTGCTCTATGAACCAGATCGTATTAGTTACATATATTCTTAGTGGCTTATGGATCATTTTTAATTCTTCTACAGGTCATTTTGCGGGAATGATTCCTCAGGCCAGGTACTTATAAACCACATGATCCATATATCTAGCTCCCAAATTTATTTATTTTTTTATTTACTTATTATATATATATATATATATATATATATATTGGTTGCATTTTATCAAGATGTAGCATCAGTGACATTTTTATTCAAACTTTTGATGTTACATTTTACTTTCAGAAGCCACCAGCTCCCCAAGTTGAGCTCTCTCTGGTCATGTTCAATGCTCATGGTTCATATAGCGGTACATATTTTGTTATTCTTGCTTTGTCACCTCTAGATTTTCAAATATTTCTTTTTTGTGGACTACGATCACTTCCTTGGAGATTATCGATTAGAAAACCGTTGAAGGTCTATCAAAGGAGTAAGAAATTTAGAAACACAGATCTTTTATCTTTTACCTGTCTTTGTGCCTTTCCTAGTGGAAATGACTCATTTTGTGGATTCAATTGATCTCTGTCGAAAATGCCTTTTTTTTTCTTTGGAAAAAGAAAAGGCACGGCTACTTTGTACCATCTTTGGAAACCAATAAAAATTGTTTTTAGTACTAGTATTATCTGAAATTAGATTCTCACAAAACTATAGGTGAGGAAGTTGTCCTCTTTTCTCTAGAATTAGCCTTTTATTTCTGAGAGATTCGTCAAAATTGATAAATTCAGTTTGTATGATGCATGGTATTCTTTAGATGATTCTCTGCTCTCATTTCTTAATTTGCTGCTCAGCTTGCCTCGTACAGCGGAGTGGTTGGACCAGAGATATGGATATCTTCTTTCAATGGCTTTCAGCTATACCATTTTCAGGCGGCGGCTTCAATGATGCTGCAATTGCCGAAGGGCTTGCTGAAGCTATAATGGTGTGTGGTGATGCATAAATCATTTATGCTTGTGCATTCACTTTGACTATTTTATTTTGCTTGCATTACTTATATGTTGCCATAACATTTATTTGTCCTTTCTAATTTCAATTCTGTTTACAGTTTGGTATCACAACTGCTTACGAATTTCGAGACCTAAATGCTTATATGCCTATTCCTACAAAGGGGGTTTTAAACGAAGTTTCCAGTTTTTCCTTTGAAGAGAAATGATGTGATTTCCTTTTCCTTTTCGTTTTCTTGGGAGATAATTTAGTTAATTTCTGCAATATGGTTGAAATATTCAGATATTTGAGGTATACAACCTCTCTTGGTCATGGTGTTTATAATGCTTAAACATCTACGCATAGTTAAGCCCGAAAAACTACTTTAAAAAGCGGATATGAAATAATTCATAAGTTTTTGGGTTTATTGGCACATTTTTATTTGCGACCTTTCCATGCCTCTTTGATTGTGAGGTTAATGAACCTATGGAAGCTGACGAGCGTTTGCTGTTAGAGAGGTGCTTTCAATACTAATCCGTTTTTCTTCAAACTTTTGTTTTGCCACTGTAAATTCCTGGAAATAATTATTTTCTTAAATCTTTCCATTTTTGTATCTTAGTCTAGCTATTATCAAATAAAAATATATATGCACAGGCATTCGGTACTTATCATAATATGCCCTGAACTTACATATATAGAAAGGGTGATGTAGTTCCATATGTTAGGGATTCTAATTGTTTTTCTTCCATATCATTTGGCGCATTTACTGTTATATTTTATTTTTGCTACAAATAGAATGTATAATTAGCACTATCAATGATCATTATTTGTGCATAAAACAATCATTTGGTCATGTTTATGCAGATGTTCTCGACCCTGAATGGGAGCCAAAATCCAAATGCTGATGGACAAAGACATTGTATTCTCATCGCTGCAAGCAACCCATACCCATTGCCAACTCCAGTGTATCGACCGCAGCCCCCAAGTCTGGAGCAGAGCGACAGCGCTGAAGTACAGCCGGATAATCGCCTATCTGATGCTGAGACATTAGCAAAATGTTTTGCCCAGGTACCGACAAAAATTTCTGATGTGTTTTTGTTTTTGTTGTTTTTTAGGTGAAATTGTGGTTGGATGTGATAGTTTTGTTTGGAAAATTGAGTATGTTTTTATTGGGAACAACAAAGCTGCTTAGTAAAAAAAACTAGCAAAAACACAAAAGGAACATTGCTTCTTCTTCGATCAATACCGTAAAAATATCTACTTAATTATAGGCAACTAAAAAGTATTCCTCTTTTGCAGTGTGGCATTTCTCTGTCTGTTATTTGTCCAAAGAAGCTTCCAACAGTTCGAGCAATTTACAATGCGGTGATACATACATTTTCCTGGGCTGCTGTACTTTTATTATGGAAAATCTGTCGGCGACGGTGCTTATATTTTCACTGTGTTAATTAGGCAAAGCGCAATCCCCGAGCTGCAGATCCACCTGTTGATAATGTTAAGAGTCCTCATTTCCTTATCCTTATCTCGGAAAATTTTATGGAGGCTCGGGCTGCGTTAGGTAGGTCCCCCGGGCTGACTAATATGCCGACAAATCAAAATCCCATCAAGATGGATGCAGCTACCGTGCCTCCCATTTCTGGGCCGCCTCTAGTTTCCATCCCTCCAGGTGACTGCAAACTAAATTTAGTTTTAATACCTATTTGATCCTCCTTCCACTGCAACACTCCTAAGTTGTGAAATAAAGTTTAAATTAGACTTTCGATATATATGAATGCTTTTGTTGCAAGAGTTTTATTCTGCTAAGGATATTAGTTAGTTGTAACTCTATAATTATTACTACTATTTTCTTATTTGTTGGAGCGGGACTAAAGTAGTCTTTATTTTTTTATCGTTACTTTGATATATGTTTTAGACGTAATGATTTGAAGATTTTTCACACAATCTTTTAACTTTTCGCACTCTTTCTAAACATCAGTGGAGGAAATGTTTGATCGCATATGTTCTAATCTGTGTGAAATCTTCTGTATTCGATGTTCTGATATTGTCAAACTTTCTTTCACAGCAAATGGATCGATTGTGGGTCGGCAACCAATACCCGTTGGTAAAAACATTACTCCTGCGCCTGTGAAAGTGGTAAGTTAACTTAGAATGCACGGATTTTGTCTTTAGACCCAATATTTCTGCATGTAGCATATAACGTCGTATTTGATTGTTTGCTTAGGAGCCCACAACTGTGTCATCTGCATCTGGGGCTGCATTTCCGCATATTTCATCGGTTCCCCGACCCACTTCTCAAGCTGTTTCAAGCTTGCAGACCTCTTCTCCGATATCGGTGCCTCAGGAAATAGTTACAAACAACGAAAACGTACAAGATATGAAGCCACTGATGAGTAGCCTGACTTCCTCTCTACGCCCGATTGGCGGCGGAGCTCCAGCAAATGTGAGAATTTTGAATGATGTGGCGCAAGCACGTCAAGTCCTAGCCGGAGGGAATTCTATTGGACTTTCATCTATGGGCGGACCCCCAATGCTCTCGAATATGATATCGAGTGGAGTGGCGACTTCTGTCGCTCCTCAAACTGTAATTTCATCAGTTTCATCTGGCGTCACATCGATTTCCGGATCGTTGCCAATCCCAGCAACCGGACAGCTTGTCCAAAACCCAGGTTCCGTGCCATTTACTTCATCTGCATCAGTTGTACCCGGGAATCCCAGCCTCGGCATGTCACAGCCTTTGAGTAATCTTCAAGTGACCGCGAGTATGAGTCAAACTCTTCCCGGTATCAGCCAAGGAAATATTCCGACTCAAATGATGCAGACAGGAATAAGCATGAATCAGAACATGACGACTTCGTCAGGTTCGACTGTTATGCCATCCGGAACCGGCGCCATGATGCCTACTCCGGGAGGGACTCAGCAAATGCAACCGGGAATGCAGCCTGTCGGAGTGAACAATAATAATAATGTGACGAATATGCCGCTGAATCAACAAGGGCCGAGTGGAATACAGCCGCCGCCCCAATCAAAATATGTTAAAGTATGGGAGGTAATGTCATTATCTATATTTAGTTCCGCCCTTTGCCTTAGTTCTATAAAATAATGTGTCGAAAGAAGTTATCCATATGAATTTCTAGATCTGCAAATTGCCGAGTTTTTGGTGATTGGAAACCGAGAGTAGCAAAGCCTAGAAGCATGCAAGTTTAGGACACAATTCGTGCGAACAATTGGAAACAAACTTAAAAAACTAGTATACTTAGTTATTTGAAAATATGTGGTATTTGTTTATATTTATAGGGTGTGCCGTATGGATATATATATATATATATATATATTGTGCTGAAATCAACAATAAACAATAGTAGTATGTGTTGTGTAGACTATTATCATATACTGTTAATTTATGCGTTATCTATCATTATCTTATGTGTTACAAAATTTAGCACAGTAACTGCAGCTCCAATAGTTAAGTCAATTCTCTTGAAATCAATATTGATCGGTAGCAAATGACAATAGAAATATCTGTTTGTGAGATTATATGTTGCCTCTAAATATTTATTATGGGATTCAGGGAAACTTATCCGGACAGCGTCAAGGCCAGCCAGTTTTCATCACCAGACTCGAGGTATGCAATCCACCTGCGTGAAAAAAAGGACTTATTTACCATTTTCATTTGGTTCGACAAAGATATAATTATGATTATCCATGGTATTCTTATTTCCTATGAATGTTGTACTTGAAAACCAGGTTATATGGCAATATATATTCATACTTACATTGTGTTTTCCGGTGCCAGGGATACAGGAGTGCCTCGGCTTCTGAGACGTAAGTCTTACCTCTGCTTATGATTTTTACTGTGGTCTCATTTGGTAAATCTGAGATTTTTATAACTTCCTGATAAAAATAGGCAACAATCTATTAAGGAATTTATATTTCTTTAGGAAGAATTAGGGCGCTGAATAAAGCTAATCAAGCACCAAATTAGCCCTTAATCAGCACCAGATTAGCCGTAATTAGCACATAAAAGATAGACAGACACACATGGATTTAACTAACACAGCATGTGTCTTGTTAGTTGATGGCATGTGCTCACATCTAATACTCCCTCCTTCCCGCATACTCTGCTAACATTTTTCATTTTAGTCTATCTTACATATTCCGCAATATTTCTAAAATATAAAATAATTAACTATATTTTATTTCATTACACAACTTAAACAAAAAAATAAATATACATTTTTTTCTTATTATATCACTTAATTTTCATTTTATTCTACTCATCTAAATTTTCGTGCCGGAATCAAAATCTTGCACCATATATGGGACGGAGGGAGTATTTTATAAGCGTGCTAGATGAACATGTCGCGTGTGCTAAAGATAAATGCTAGTACTTATTGTGTTTTAAGTTTATTTGCTGTATTTTTTTAAAAAAAATTAATATGTCTACAAGAACCTTAGTTCCATTTAGATAGAAGTTTTGGAAATTTTAAAAAATAGTAAAATGTTTGAGTATTTGATTTAATATTTTTTTGAAAAAATTACTGATCACGAATAGTGTAAAAATTTTCAAAAGTGTACATAAACAGCAATTAAGCCTCTATAGATGCATCGATCCTTCGAAAATGCATTATAGTATAGCTCATTAAGTAGGTCATTCATATAAATACCATTTCTCACAAATGGCTTGAACAACATTTTCTTTTGCAATATTTTCAGGCTTGCTTTTAATTGGCCGCCAACGATGCAAATCGTTCGACTAATATCCCAGGATCACATGAACAACAAGTAATCTCTCCTTTACTAGCTATCTAGCTATCTATATAAGTTGCATGCTTTATGCACTAACAATAGATAGAGTTCAAAATTTGAAATTTAATTTCGAATGTTATATATATATATTTGTCGTACCAGGCAATATGTCGGTAAGGCAGATTTTCTAGTTTTCCGGGCGATGGATCAGCACGGTTTCCTCGGGCAGCTGCAAGAAAAGAAACTCGTAAATTCTCAATGCCAACCCTTTTACTACTCCATGGAACGAAATTTATAATGCCGAACTATGTTCTTACATTTTTCGTTAAAATGGCAGTGCGCCGTAATACAGTTACCTTCCCAGACACTGCTGCTCTCAGTCTCCGACAAAGCTTACCGCCTCATCGGCATGCTTTTTCCCGGCGTATGGAAAATAGGAACCGATTAACTTCCTTAAAACATCCTTTTATTTTTTTCATACCAATCGCTAATTCTGCATATAATTTTCAGGACATGGTCGTGTTCAAGCCGCAAATGCCAAACCAGCAACAGCTGCAACAGCTACAGCAGCCGGGAGCACAGCAACAGCAAATCCAACAATTGCAACAACAACAACAGCAACAGACGCCGGATCAGCAGCAGCAGCAACCGCTGATGCAGCAAATCCCGCAATTGCAGCAGCAGCCATTGATGCAGCAGCAGCCGTTGGTGGGCAACGGCATGGCGCAAGCCTACATGCAAGGCGGCGCAGGCCCCCGGTCGCAGTTACTCGGCCAGGGACAGGTGTCGTCGCAGGGTCAACCGACCATGCCTGGAGGTAATTTCATGAGCTGAAAACTCCTTTAGGATTATTTTGTGTTAAATTAAAGCATGGAACTAAGTTTGAGCTTTTAAGACATATTGATTTGGACAATACATATATATTTATATATATATATATACACGGTTTCTTCTAATGCTTATACAACCTGTAAGATAGTAAAAACACTTACCTACTCTGATGAAGATGAAATACATTACTGCCTGTTTTGGAGGATCTGATTCATATTTAGACAGTGAGGGTTCTGAGGGTTCTATGTGTTTTAGAAAATCAGTCTCATAAGAAGATATCATTTTTGTCCGTCCTAAAATAAGGGTATTATTTTCTGCAACTGTATTACTTACTTAATATAATAAATACCTTAAAATATACAATATCTTACACAAATATCATCATTTTTATAAATATCATACTAATAGGGGTATTTTCGTCTTTTTACTACAAACTAATATAATACTCCATCCGTCCCGCGAGGGATGAACCTTTTTACTAGGAATACGGTTTTTTAGGTAGTGTAAATTAGTATGTTATTAGTAATAAGTTATGATATTAGTTTATTATTTTTTATATGAATAATATTATTGGTATTTAAAAAAAAAATTAAGATTATATTTCGAAAAAATATATACAATATGGATATCATTTTGTAGATAATAAAATTTTATATAATACAAATAAATAAATTTTATTTATTTCTCATTGTCATAAATTAATTTTATAAAAAATGAGGAGTCGAGGAGAGATAGAAATAAAGGAGTTTTGAGTGGATCTACGGATAAATGTTAGAAGTTTAATTAAATTGATTTATATTTGTTAAGTAAATTTAAGATTGATGAAGTTACAAAAAATAAATAGACAGTCATTTTTGTGAGACGTATTAAAAAGGAAAAGAGTCATATGTGGGGGGACGAAGTAAGTACTAAACGGTTCTTAAAAAATATCGTATATAATTCTCTAAAAATTGGTGAGTTTTTTGTGTTAAGAAAACAAATATTGCACAGAACTTTTATAAATTGTGTTGAACTCCCTGGGATTTTAAAACATAGTGTTTGAAAATTTTGTTTAATATTTTCGAAGACACAAAAGCCTTTTGCAATTTTTAAGTTAGGAGAGAATAATTTTAGATTAAACCACAATATATTTTTTTGCCTTAAATTACGAGGTAGCCCAATTGGTTGATAATTAGGCATTTATAGTTGATAACTAAGAATTATTTTATTTTATTTTTTTTTAAAAAAAATAAATTCAATTAATAATAATTATAATTTTTTATTAATAAAGTTAACTAAAAGTAGAAATTAAATGAATATAAAATATTAATTTAATTTTATAATAAATATTATCGATCGTTCGTAAATAATTTTGAATTCGTTCGTAAATATAATTAGCCAAAATTATATTCGTGTTTGGTTAATTTAACTTGACGCATAAGCTCTTAACAAATTCAAATGAACCGAACTTGACTTAAGCTCGCAAATTGATTATTTGTTTTACAGGTTTACAAAATCCAATTTAAACCTAAGAGTAAGATAAGGGTGTCAAATGTAAATCTGACCTGAAAAATCGAACCCATTCGACCTGAAATTTCTCAGGTTTGGATTTGAGTAATTCGGGTTTGAAAAAAATCGGGTCGATCCGAACCTGAAACGAAAAAAATTCGTGTCGTGTTTCGGGTTGACCTGATAACTTGAAATATCAAAATCGGGTTAGGTTTTAGGTTTCGTGTTTCGGGTTAGCCTGAAATTTTTATTATTATTATTTTAATTTATAATATTTTTATTATTTTATAAAATAATATAAAAATAAAAATGATATTTTTTAGGTCAATTTATTTTTTTTTAAATTTTCTGGTCTGTTTCGTGTCGGGTTCTTATCGGGTTTCGGGTGACCTGAAACTAATTCAGGTCAACCTGAACCCGACCTGAAAGAATTCGTGTCGTGTTCGGGTCTAGGGTTTCAGGTCAAATTTCGGGTTCGGGTCGGGTTTGGGTTGACAATTTTTTTGTTATCTTCACGGCTCAACCCGACATGAATACGACCCAAAAATACGAATTGACACACCTAGAGTAACACACAATTCCACATATATATATATATATATTTGTAAGTTTTAACACTTTATCACAGTAATTTATTTAAAATAGGACCAAATCAAATATTTATTTTATTTCATAAAATATCACACTATATATATTCAATTTTTAATGCCTAAAATTCTCCAAAAATCTTATCTGAAAAAAAACTTTAATTTGCTTAAAATAGTAATTTTAGGACCTTCATTTGGTCAAGAATTTGACAAAATTACTACTCTAATGATCAAAACCATCAATATTCCTTGCAGCTAATGATAGGAACAAAAGGAAAAAGCTACTCTAAATCTCAGACCATACTTTCTTTCACCTACTGGATTCATTTGGTCCACCATTCCCCAACACACCATATCATATCAAAACACACAAAGGAACAATAAATTTGTTAACTTTGGCAGCTCCTGGACCCCAGCACCCTACCCTTATACTAATTTCTCTCTTAGTGGTGTAGATTTTTTTAAGGATGTCAAAATTAAACTTGACCGAAAAATTGAATCCGCTCTATCTGAAATTTTTCAGATTTGGATTTAGATATTTTGGATTTGTTAAAAATCGGATTGATCCAAATCCGAAATGAAAAAATAAAATAAAATAAAATTGTGTCGTATTTAGGTCAAATTTCAAATTGACTTGAAACTCGAAATATAAAAATCATACTCCCTCCGCCCACCGTTTATTTATTTGTTTATTTTTTTTACGTAGATTTTAGTATATTAGTATTATATTGATATGCGGTACAATTGATATGCATAAAGACTATTATACTCCTTAATATTTATGGTATTAAGTGATGTTATTTGATGACATTTGTGTAATATTATATAAAAAATGAAGGAATTTTATATTTTAATGAAAGATACATTTACTAAAAAAAAAAGAAATGGAGGGAGTATTGGGTTTCAATTTTCGTATTTCAAGTTGACCTAAAATTATTTATTATTTTAATTTATAATATTTTAAATATAAAATAATATAAAAAAATAAAAATGAATCTTTTAGGTTAATTTAAGTTTTTGAATCCGTTTCATGTCAGGTTCGGTCAGGTTTGTTTGGATTTAGATTGATCTAAAATTAAATCAAGTCAATTTGAATCCAATCAAAAAAAATTTGTATCGTATTCGTATTTAAAATCTTGGGTTAGATTTCGGGTCCGAGACATATTCGGATCGACAATTGTATCATCACATTACTCAACCTGACACAAACACATTCGGAAACATGAATCCCAACTCCAGGGACCTCCCAAAAAATACTAAAGAAAAAACAAAAGAAAAAGGTAGGCATCTCGTGATTATCACAAATAATTTCAAAACAAACATCTTTCGACCCCACACGAGGCCGAACCAGAATTTGGGGAAACTGGTCCGGGATCTCCAAGTCCAGAGACGTCAATGTACCGTGTTGGTACCCAGATCCCGGGAGTTCTAAAGCTTCACCAACACCCCCTACATTTATACCCCACTCCATAATGTAATCCACAAACTCTACCGTCATTATTTAGACCATCTGTAGATGAGAATTTCTTCTATTTTTTGCAGGGTGGAAAGAAAAAAATTGCTCCGATCACCCGCTGATTCAAGCAGGTGTATTTTTTTTATTTTTAAAATTTTGTTTTAAGTTTATATTTTATTTTAATTTATATTTATATTTTTATTAATATTAATATTTTTATGCTTTAATTTAAATATATATTAAAATATTAACAAATATAATTTATCGGTATAATATTTGAAATATTAATTAAAAATATTATTATAACTTAAATGTATAAAAATAATTAAATATTAAATTTTATTTGTAATTTTAAAATTATGTAAAATAAAATATAAAGAGAATATTTTTTAACATATAAAAATAGAGGGTATGATTAGAGATAGATTACTGCAGCAAACCGTGCAAAAATGAAAAAATATATTGTAGACGTTGCAAAAATAGAGTTATGGAGTGGAGATGGTCTTAACTTCTACCTTCACCCCCAAACAGCCAGCCAGCCAGCCAAGCTATCCATTAATCAAGAAACCAACAAGCTTTGGCAGCTATGGTGAATTATTATTCATTTCTTCTATTCATTATTAATGAAGGTTGCCAAAACACTAATCATATAATCTTAATTTTAATACTGAAAACTCGTACTCATGTGGATAATGTAAATTTAAATTAAATTAAATTAAATACTGTTGGGGAAATGGGGAAATGGGAAAATATTGACTAACCTTTTGAAGTGCAGTCAGCAGCAGCGGCAGCCATTAAAGATATCATCAGCAAACCCCACCTTAGCATTTCATCATATCGATCATTTCATTCGTAGCTTTTCCCTCTGCTTATGTCTACTGCACTCTCTCTATCTCTATCTCCATCTCCATCTCCATCTCCACCGCCTATTTAATTTCACAACACCCAACAATTTCAACCTCAGCTTCACCTCCTGCAATGGCGGAATTTGGGGGTTTTCCTGCTCTGGGTTTTCTTGTTCTGTTCTCTGTTTTTGCTTCGTGTGTGGTGTCAAGAACACACTTGATTACTTCCGGAACAGAGATTCTTGATGTTGATTCAGCAATTTCGAAGACCAGAGATGTGTTCTCGGTGAATTCAGACAAGGTACAAGCCTTGAAGCAGGATGTACATGAGCGAAACGGCGCCGTTTTGAGCTTCACCCTGCACACGCGGCTGTCCATACGAGGCGGTGCGGATAACGACTACCACAGCCTAACATTGGCTCGACTCGGCCGTGACTCAGTCCGAGTCGAGGCGATTCAAACTCGGGTAGATCTGGCGAGCTATGGCGTACGGAAAGCAGATCTGATGCCTATGGCGGATTCTGAACTGGCGGAGGAGAAATTGGAAGGTCCGGTAGTTTCCGGTACCAGTCAAGGCAGCGGCGAGTACTTCTGCCGCGTCGGAATCGGAAAACCGGCGACTCAGGCTTATATGGTGCTCGACACCGGCAGCGACGTGAACTGGGTTCAGTGCGCTCCTTGCGCCGATTGCTACCAGCAAGCAGATCCTATCTTCGATCCAGATCTGTCTTCTTCGTTTTCTTCGCTGAATTGCGAAACTCAGCAGTGTAAATCGCTTGAGGTTTCTGAATGCCGGAATAATACCTGTTTGTACGAAGTCTCGTACGGCGACGGTTCCTACACCGTCGGAGATTTCGCGACGGAGACGATCACGCTCGGCGGTTCCGCGGCGGTTAACAACGTCGCCATCGGTTGCGGACACAATAACGAAGGTTTGTTCGTCGCCGCCGCCGGATTAATCGGATTAGGCGGAGGAAAACTCTCATTCCCCTCGCAAATCAACGCGACTTCGTTTTCCTACTGCCTCGTCGATCGAGACTCCGATTCCGCCTCAACTCTCGATTTCAATTCTCCGTTACCGCCGGACGCCGTGACTGCACCGCTCCGCCGGAACTCGAAGCTCGACACGTTCTACTACATCGACTTAACCGGAATTAAAGTCTCCGGCGAGCTGCTTCCCCTTCCGCCGACGACTTTCCAGTTAAACGCGAACGGCAGCGGCGGCGTGATACTCGATTCTGGAACGGCTGTCACGCGCCTGCCGACGGCGGTGTATGCGTCGCTCCGCGACGCGTTTAAGAAGGGGACGAAGGATCTCCGGCCGGCCGGCGGCGTCGCGCTTTTCGACACGTGTTACGATCTCCGGTCGAAGAAGAGTGTGGAGGTGCCAACGGTGTCGTTTCAATTTTCTAACGGTAAAGAGTTAGGGTTACCGGCTAAGAACTACATGATACCGGTTGATTCGTCGGGAACGTTCTGCCTAGCCTTCGCTCCCACGGCGTCTTCACCGGGGATTGTCGGGAATGTGCAGCAGCAGGGGACACGTGTCAGTTACGACCTCGCTAATTCTCTTATTGGGTTCTCGCCCAGTAAATGCTGATCCATAATCATAAAATGAATATATATATATTAGTGTTTTAATATTTTTATTTTTAGCTAATTAAAAAAATTAGTCATGTTTATTTTATATTTTAATTTTCATTTAAGTGGATGTGCGTGTCAATGTGGCCTGACTTTAATATCTGTAAGCCCATTGGGTTGGGCCCATTTGTCGGCGTGCATTTATTACTGCTTTCTAGTAATAAGTAGTATTTTTCTTGCTTATGTATGTGATATGTTCTTCCAATATAATTTTTCAATTGCGATTTTAAAATAATAATAATAATAATAAATTATACTCTCTCGTTTTAAAATAATAGAGACATTTTGGATTGATACGGTATTTAAGGAATAATAGTATTATATTAACAGTGAGTGTAAAAATATTATTAAAAGATTAAAATATTTTTACTTTATTATTGAAAAAAAGTAAAGAGATAAAATAGACAAATAACAATGTCATTAAGGATAGAATAAACAAAAATAATTATTTATAAAAAAATATATACTATTAATTCTCCAAAATCAGCTTAACATTCCAATTTTTTTTATTAAATAAAAAAAAATAAAATTAAATTACACAACAAATTACATAATCGTTGCAGATTGGACAATACATAGAAGAGCATACCACGCCACCGAAAGATCATCATGCAGGGAGCAGCGTAGCAACGAGAGAATATGCACAACACCGCATGCACCATGGTCACAACAATGCCACAACGTAACCAATATGCTCCGAGTATGTAAATTGATTCCCGATATTACCAAAAAATTGAACTTTCAGATTTGTTCATCAAGAAAGTAAATATGCATCATTTTTTTGAGAAAAACACGAAAACAATAGGTAATTCCTTCTAACACCCTAAAAATCTAATTCACAAATTATTTCCCTCCAATGAAACACTAATTTTTCCCACAATTAGTGTCTATAAGTAACCATTCCATTACACACTTCACTATTTTTCAAAAGTTTAGAGATGAACAAAAAAGATGTAAGCAATGAATAACTCAATCAACATCTTTTGTAGCAAAGTTTAACCGATGGGAAACCCCATCACGGCAAAATCAACGAGGTTGCCACGCAATTTGGTTTCTCACAAAAAACCATAAGTTGCATTTGGCAGCGGGCAAAACAACAACACTAGGGTAGACAACAACATTCTTATTACCAATCAGAAATGCCGTAAAGGAAAGCCGAGGTCAGCAGTTTTCGATGTAAACAAGTTGAAAGATGTTCATTGCAGTAAGAGAGGTACATATAGGAGAATTGGCAAATAGTTAAAAGTTAGCAAAAGTAATGTTAAGAGATGATACAAAACAGGATTATTCAGAGCACACACAAATGCAATCAAGCCAAGCTTAACTGAGAAAAACATGGTAAGCCGGCTACAATTTTGCCTCCAAGCATTGGACGTTCTATCAGAGTGTAACATCATAAGGTACAAAAGCATGTCCAATACCCTGCACATTGACGAAAATAGTTTAACCTCTCTAAAGACAGTGAAAGATATTATCTAGCATTTGACGAGATTGAACCGTATAGAACATGTCAAAACAAAAGGTTCATTACCAATGTAACATTCCTTTGTGTCGTATCAAGACCCTTATACGGTCCAAATGGGGATTGCTTTTTCAATTGGAAAATAAAAATATTTCAATTCACAAAGAAAGAAGCAGCCAAATGTAGATAAAAAAAGGGCTTCCGGGATAATGGAGATTAAACCATTGGATTCGATTGCAAAACAAGTCACAAAACAACTTTTGATCGAAAAGGTAACCTACTTATATGTAATCAACTCTCAACAAATACTCAACAGTTATTAACCATCATTGAGTTGTAATTATAGGTGATTCCAGCGATTAAGAGAAGGTGGCCTAGTGATGCAAGTAAGTTAATCTATATATAACAAGATAATGCAAAATCTCACATTGATGACAATGATCCTGAGTTCCGAGAGGTTGCAAGCAGTGATGGATTTGATATCCATTTGGTTTTTCAACCGCCTAACAGCCGGGATACAAACATAAATGATCTAGGGTGGTTTAGATCATTGCAATCTTTACAAGTTTCCAAAGTGAGCTACAATGTAGAAGATCTACTAGCAGTTGTTCGAAAATTTTTTGAAGAATTGTCCGACACAACACTTAATAATATTTTCATTACATTGCAAATGTATCTTACGGAGATTCTCAAGTGTTAAGGTGGAAACAACTACAAAATTCCACATATGGGAAAAGCAGTACTAACAAGGAAAATTTTACTCCCAACATATTTGGCGGTAGATCAAAAGTTGATCAAGTACACTATAGAGCATTTGTTGGAGAGTAATGAAGCTGCCGGAATCGAAGAGCTCATTACACTCGTAGAGGCTATGACGTAATATTGCATTTTCAGATATAGCATTTGATGTTTTTGTGATTAAATCAAACGACTAAGTAGAAGTATTTTGTATGTACGAGATTACAAGTGATTAAAATCTATAACCAGTAGATTTTAATCACTTGTAATCCACTTTTGGACATAAAATAATCTAACGATAGTCAATCATATAGCTCCCAGGTTCATAATACATCATTGAGTTGCATGTCCACTTTCAGATGCTAACATCATCATCAAGTAAAAATTGATTTTATGCAACATGTGTTGGGTTTGTTTAGAGCGTGATGATCACTCTCATATAACAAATTAATCATCGAGTGAGTATGAGAGGACCTAATATGTTCTTTAATCATCACAAAGTGTGATCAAATCACTCTCAAATTGGGAGAAAATTGACATAAAAAGAACTAGACTAATACATGAAGGGTGACAAAGCAGTAATATGTATATTTCCAAAACCTCGTAGAACATATGTTTCTCATCAGGATTGCTAATACCCAATCAGTATATATTTTTCATCATTTAATCCAAAGTACTCAAACTCCCAACAAAAAGGCACAAATATATCATGCACTAGTAGAGCTGTTAACGATCCGAGCCGAGCCAAATTTTAAGTGTTCGTTAACGTTCGCGAACAAGGCTCGTGTTCGTTCGTTAAGCTTTCGAGCTCGTTCGTAGTGTTCGAGCTCGGCTCGTTAAGAAATTTTGTTATTTGAGCTCGCGTTCGACTCGTTTAGGCTCGATTAAGCTCGTTCGAGTTCGTTTGAGCTTGTTTGTCTTATTTTTTAAAATTTATATATAAATTATAAAAAAAATTTAAAAAAAAATTATTTATTTATAAATTATAATTTTATATGTATATATATAATATTTATAATAAATATATTATTTAAACGAATGTTCGCGAACAAAGCTCAGGCTCGTTCGTAACCAAACAAGTCCGTTTATGTTGTTCGGCTCGGCTCGTTAACGTTCGCAAACGAGCTTTAATCGAGCCGAATCGAACTGAGTTCACGAACGGCTCGGTTCGTTTAATAGCTCCATGTACCAGCATATAGAAGCAAAAACAGTTTCACAACCAACCAAAGATTGAGTTCAAGCCATTTCACCTCGGATTCAAATTCGCACAAGCCAATACATGTACCACACTAAAACCCCTCTAATTTTCTACGGCCTTTGGAAGCAAACCCTTGACAAAAATAAGATGTATTCAGCAGGAAAACAAATATTCAAATCCAACAAATAAGAAGACAAATATGCACAGTGGGTAAAAAGTATTTCGATTCCCTTCATAATGTAACAAAATACACCGATTGATACATTTTTTGTACTCCTCCAACTCCATAGTCAACGAACACAAGATTGAGAGAAACATCAACAATACTTCACGAGCCAAGTTGGATTTTTGGGGTTTTTGGAGTTTCCGACAAAGATATTTTTGATCTTTCAACCCCACACCCAAACCCTGCTCGTCGTCAGACTCAAAATCGACGGTGACATCGTTGGCAACAGCGTCACCAAGCTGATTTCAGAATCATCGATCGAAGACGGAGGACACAAAAAAATTGATTCCGACATCTCATTCGACTCGCCATGAAGAGGAGATGCCATTTCGGGCCTCTTCTAGGCGATTCACCAGCAAAAACAACAGCTACGGAAGTGTTCTTACAGAGAAGAAACCCTAGACGAAATCTGATCGAGAGAGACAGAGAGAGAGAAACAAGATCGAGAAAGAGAGAGAGTTAACAGGTGGGTGAATTTAAGAGAGGTCGATGGGTGTTAATGTTGTACTCCCTCCGTCCGACATACCGTGTGTGCTACACCGGAGATACGGTATATACGATATTTTAAGAGGGGTATAATTAGTAGATAATTAAAAATGGATTAATAAAAATAATTATTCGATAATATAAATAATTATATATTAAGATTAATATAACTAATTAATTTTATTAAAATTTAAAAAAATAAAATTTAAAAATTTAAAATAAGATTAAAGTGTGTAATCATTTTCCAAAAATAGAAAATGACATTGCATGTAAGACAGACAGAAACGGCAACGCGTACATGGGAGGGGGGAAAAATGGTGTATATGAGAGTATTAATTATGATGGGTGGAATAATTAAATTATATTGTGTGTTATTTAAAAAAATTTAATTGTAATGATAATTATGTAATTATTGTGAAAAATTGGGATAATTTTGTAAAAGTCAAAAGAATACTTGTTTGCTATATACATTCCTAGCTTGCTCTTAGCCGGTATCAAATTATAATAATTAAAATGTTATTATTTTTCTACATTTTATATTAAATTAATATATAACGATACATAATTAAAAATGAATATTATTATGAATTATGTTTATAGCAAAAAATAGAAATTATGGTATTTTTACTTAAAAAATAAAACAAAAAAATAAATTTATAGTATGTTTTACTTAAAAACAAAAAGAAAAATAAATAAATTTACATGATAATGTAAAAAATAAAAATAAATTAGAGAACATTATTTTACACTCATCAAAATCATCGAAATATTAAAATACTTGAAGGGTATGTTTGTTTGGGGGATTAGATTGGATTTATACTATTCATCCAATTTTTTTCCCAAAAACATCAAATCAAACACCTATTTTTTATTTTTTATATTATACTAAAAATAAATTTTACGTTCAAAACATCACATCAATACTTATTTATATCACATCATACAATTATTCAAATTCAAATTTTTTATTATTTAAATTCCAACTCAAAATCCAAACCCTCCGACAAACACACCCGAAAAGTAAATATAAAATCAATAAAAACTTCTATACACTTTTTTGAAAATAAATAACAAAATTTTATTTTTCCTATTTTTTTCGTTGAAAGTAATTTGAATGAGAGTTGAGTTGAGTTAGGTGGAAAATTAAATGAAGGGTCGGTCAAAGTCACGAGAGCAATAAAAACCATGACATGCTTTCTGTCCACGTCATCCTTCAATCGTATCTCATATCCTATCCAATCCTAAAGTATCTAATAAATATATAATCTACTCTAAATAGTCTCCGCATACAAACAAGCATCTGACGGCGCTATCATTGCGATTGGATTTTTTTTTTTTTTTTTTTTTTTTATAATGACAGAAATTCGGCGTTGCTATTCGAAAATATGCACTGGGAGTGCGCTTGTTTGGGGTTTTGGATGTTGAGTTGGGATTTGAATAGTAAATTTTTTGAATTGTAATAATTGTATGATTTGAAATAAATAGGTATTGATGTGTTATTTTGAATGTAAAATTAATTTTTAGTATAATATAAAAAATAAAAAATAGGTGTTTGATTTTAATTTTTTTGGGGGAAAAATTTTGGATGAATAGTAGGATTTTGTCCAAATTCTTCAAACGAACACACCCTGGGTAAACTTTCCGGTGAATTTAATACCCAACAAATTAGACCCGACAGATAAGTCACACTAGATTTGTGTTTGTTTGACACTTTGAATTTTGAGTTGAAATTTAAATAATAAAAAATTGAATATAAATAGTTGTATAATATGATCTAAATAAATATTGATATAATATTTTAAATATAAAATTAATTTTTAGTATAATATTAAAAATGAAAATTATGTAATTGATTTGATATTTTTTGAAAAAAAAAAATTAATAAATAGTGTAAATTCTCACAAATCCCCCAAACAAACACACCCTAGACGAACCATGTGAGGGGGTTTGAACTCACGATTTCTTGATCATACATCCAAACCCCCCCCCCCCCCCACCCAACATCACCGACCATCATTTTCTGGACATTGTAAAAATATGATCAAATGGTTTGGACACATTTTAATGTGCTGAGTATTATTCTTATTCTTCTTATTATTATTTTATTTTATAGTAAAAACAAATGGTTTAAAATAATAAAACTAGTACTCCCAAAAAATAAAACAAAGATATATAATGTCCTACTCTGATTCGGATTTGATATTCAAATAATTGGATCCAATTCTAAATAAATGAGTCTGATTCGGATCGAATTACGGACCCATTATCATCCCCACATATAGATAATACTTTCTTTATCAATTAATATTTTTTTTATTTGACTTTTGTATTAAAATAAATTATTATTTTATAGATATGTAATGTAATAAATAATATAATATCTATTTTACTTTTAAAAAATAATACAAAAATAAAAAATATGAATATTTTGATATTTAGTTAATTTATTTATTTTTTATAATTAAAATAAAATATTTTGATTATGACATATTGAAATGACCAATAAGAAAATACTGTTCCCTCAATCCCAAAACTATAGTATGGGTTGTGTTTAATACAGCGGTGCCAAAAGTAAACTCGACCCGAAAAATCGAATCCGTTCGACCTGAAATTTTCAGATTCGGGTTTGGGTATTTCGGGTTTGAAAAAAATCGGGTCGCCCGAACCCGAAACGAAAAAATTCGTGTCGTATTCGGGTTGATCTGATAACCTGAAATATAAAAATCAGGTTAGGTTTTGGATTTCGTGTTTCGGGTTGACCTGAAATTTTTATTATAGTATTATTATTTTAATTTATATTTATATTATTTTAAATATAAAATAAAATAAAAAATTAAAATAAAATTGATATTTTTTAGGTCAATTTATTTATTTATTTATTTTTTAATTTTCGGGGTCTGTTTCGTATTCGTATCGGGTTTGTTCGGGTTTCGGGTGACCTGAAACTAATTCAGGTCAACCTGAACCCGACCTAAAAGAATTCGTGCTATGTTCGGGTCTAGGGTTTCAGATCAGATTTCGGGTTCGGGTCGGGTTCAGATTGACAGTTTTTTTTTATCCCCATGGCTAAACCCGACATGAACACGACCCAAAAACACGAATTGACACCCCTAGTTTGACACGGGATTTAATGAATATTGATATTATATTGGTAGTTGATAAAAAGTAAAGATAAAAGACTTTTTTGCCCATGTAAGTGTATTAGTGTAAAAAGTAGTGACAATTGTATAATAATAATGAAAAAGTAAGGGTAGTTTAATAATGATATAATTATTTATGAAAATGAGACTATTGTTTTTGGACGGACAAAAATAGTAAACAAGACTATTGTATTGGGATGGAGGGAGAGAGTATTATTTACTATCACAATGCATTGAATTAAACTGTGGCTAAAAATATTTGTCTGTTTGTTTGTTTTTGGATTATTTAAAATATGAATAAAAATTAAAATATTATATTTATTTGATATTTATAATAGTTATAATTTAATAAAACATATACCATATATATATATATGTCATTTTGTAGATAATAAAATTTTCTATAATATAAATAAATAAAAATTTTAAGATATATATTATATATAATATAAATACATAATAAAATTATACAATTATTAATTTTATCAATTAAATTTAATATATATTCATATTATTATATTTATTACCAATCAAATCAATACTGTTTAAAACTCTCTAAATTCAAACTAAACCTAAATACAAAAACAACACACAAATTCAAAATTATCTTAAAATTCATATAAAAATCAAATTCAAATCCAATTTTTTCCTCGACACTAGAAAAAAGACATACTCTTGTATATATTCACACATACCACGAATGCTTCTGACGTCATTATTTGCTTTTATGAGAATCTTCTCGTAACATTTATTATTAAATATATTAATATTTTTAGATAACATTGTATGTTTCTTTTAAAAACAATATCAGATTTTTACTATTTCGACTATATTTTTTAAAAATATTTTAATAAAATATCTCAATTATACATTGCTATAATACTAAATTTAAATCAAAATTTTTTCAAACACATTAAAAGAAACACATCTTAAATATATTAATTTTTTTTTAACGTAACATGTTTTTCTAAAAAATATAGTAGTATTAATATTTTTAGATTCAATTATTAAATATACTCCATACTCCGATATCCACCTCGGGGTGTGTTTGTTTGGAGGATTGGATTTTAAATTTAATTCATTCCCTTTTATCTCCCAAAAATATCAAATTAAACACTTATTTTTTATTTTTTTATATTATACTAAAAATCAATTTTATATTTAAAATATCACATCAACACCGGTTTATATCACATCATACAACTATTCAAATTCAAAATTTGCATTATTCAAATCCCAATTCAAAATCTAAACCTCCAAACAAACACACGCTAGATGTATAATTCTTTTGATTTAATACCAATTTTAATAAATATAATACTCCCTTTCACATATTTTAATAAATATAATTAATAAGTAATTAAGAAATATATTAGTAAAAATAATTATAATATAGTAAAAATAATTCTAAATTAAGATTAAAAAAATTATAAATTATGAAATTTAAAATATGATTAAAGTATATAATAATATTTTTTTAAAAAAAAAATTTATATAATACGAACGAAAATAAAAAATAAAAAAGAGAGGGGCAGTAATATATTTATTTTATAACACACTAAAAAAGTACATAAGAGAAAAAAAATACTCCATCCATCCCGTATAAGGTTGTAGTTTATTTTTTGAAGATAAATTTTTGAATATTAGTATTATAATATATCGTAGTAAAAAAATAAAAATATTTCTATATAAAAATAATAATATTTATATAATATAATATAAATTAAAAAAATATTTATTATATTAGATAGATAATACCATTACTAAATAAATAAATAAATAAATGAGTGAAATGAAAAATGATAATTTTTAAATAGGACGTGGGATTATTTTAAACATACTAATATTATATATACATACGGAGTATTAAATATTAGTAATATTTTAATTATCAACGAAGTGTTTTCTCCCTCTTATTTACTTTCAAATATACACAGCATAGCTTTCTCCTTTCTCATAATTTTCCGGCTTTGACTATTTGCGGCGAATGCGGTGGCGCCGCCGCATCAGAGGTGGAGCAAACGCCAAGTGGCTGTGGCAATAGGTAGGCCCTGCCCTCGGAAATGACCGGTAGCTGTGGTGCAGTGCAGACATGAACTGACTGCTTTCCTTCATGCAAAAAGCTAAGAGGACACCAATATCATCAATTCTCATTTACTTCTTCCCCTAACAAAATTAATTGTAATTCCTACTTTGAACTGCCTTTTCAATGCATGATTCATTGTTGCTCTCTCTCTCTCACACTCTCCATCTCTCTCTCACACAAATACAATCACATCGATGTTTCTCGCCATGATTATTTTATTCGGAATTCAGGAACCCTAACTCCACTCTGCGGACAATTATAATCAATTGATTGTGAGAGTTTCCCCATCCCGCCAAAACCGTGGTCAATATCATCCAGGTGTGGACTCATTAATTTTTGCTGAGCTTTGATCACTGGAGCAATTATAGACTGGATGAATAAATTGTGAAAAAAAATCTGAAAGATGTGATTTCAACTTTTTGCAGAAGAAGACGACGACGAAGGAAGAGGAGGAGAAAAGAGTGCAGCAGCGTCTGCCAAATCCAACTCTCGCGGGGCGGCACGTGGAACGCACGCGATGAGATAGAAAGAGAAAGAGTAGCGGAGCGACAGACAGTCGACAGACAGTGGTCGGAGAAGCTCGCTCTCGAAGGGGAAGGCGTCAGATTGCAATAATGAAAAAGGTAGCGTCGTACCGAATGGTTTTTAATGAATAAAAAGCAACTACACTGTGATACGCTATCTCCAATCTCTACCCAGTGATGCTGCAATCCTGATTTCAATCTCCATTTCCATTTTTCTCCTCGTTCTTGGGGCTCTCGTTTGCACTTTTTATTAGCTAAGCTGAGGGGCTCCACCATTTCTGGCCATAACTCCGACTTCAAGCTCTGAATAATCAACCCGGAGATGCATAGCTTCAAACCATCATCGGTACCGCAGGCGATTACGCTCACCAATTCGAATCTCTACTGCACCTCTCAATCGCCGTTCTATCTCAGGTGCGTTTCAGAAAATGCGAAATTAGGGTTTGTTAATTTTGAGGGTGGGGGTGGATGGTTTTAGGGTTGTTTCCTTTCTGTAAAATTCTGGCTGATGCATGTGTTTGATTCTGCGTGATTTTTGATCGTAGAGGTGAAGAAAATGGTAGGAACGGGACACGGTTTGCGGATCTAGGGGAGCTTGAGCAGTCAGCTGGCCATGGCTTCCATCATGATGATGCTGTTAATTTAAGCCGAAGTAAGCTCTTTCCATGGCTGTATTTAATTTCTCTCCTTTTTCTACTAAACCTTCTCACTCACTCATTCTAACAACTTCCAACCACCACTGTGCATTTCAAAAACACTAAAAAAAACAATGAACGGTAGCCTCAATCTACAACGAACTCAAGGCAAGCAATGTATCTGTTGTTTCAAGTAACTTGCAGTTTGGTGGACTCAACAATGTAAGCTCTCATTTCTTTCTTGTCTCACATAGCAATCAAATTTCATATTTGTTTCCTTTTTCACATTCGTCTTTGTTTTTGTCCACAATACAACACAGAGTTTGGGGTCAACAGAGATGGTTTCATCAGGGACAGGGGTGGACTCATCTGGGGGGCAGTTCATGTTGCAGAAGGGGGGTGCAATGGTGGGGGTAGGAAGGGCCGAGGGAGGAGAAGGGGCGTTGGGAAATGGGCACTTTGAGAACTGGGGCGATTCAGGAGTGGTGGCAGATCACAGCCAACAGACTGACACTTCCACAGATACTGATGAGAAAAATCAGGTTCTTCTGATGTTGGGAAAGTAGAATCTTTTCTTTGCAGTTTTACTTTGTTTGGCCATATGTTCTTTTTTGCATCTTGGTGGCTTTTTTAAAAAAATGTGAAATTTACTCTTTCTAGCTTAAGTCATCAAGGTGTAGTAATAATGGATATTGGCAAGAAATCAGTACCTGAAAATGGTGGAGATTTGCTATATATGGGCCCTTTCACGTTTGCATATATAGTTGTTGCTTGGTGCAAAGTGAACCATGACTGGACAAAACTTGTATTGTTAAAATTAGGTGATAATTAGTGAATACTCTTGTAACATTTACAGGAAAATCTATTTTTGTACCTTTTCATTGACAAGTTTTTTTGAGTTTGTTGGTGGATTAACATTGGTATTGGCTTGAAATTTTAATACATTGGAGTAAATGATTAGTAAATTTCAAAACATAACGGCCCGAAACCTGTATTGTTAAACTTAGGTGATGATTAGTGAATATTCTTGTAGCATTTACAGGAAAAATTTAAAATTTTTCCGGCTTATTGATGTGTTTTGCTAAGTTTTCGAAGAATTTTGTTGGTTGGTTGACATTGGTATTGGCTTGAAATTTTAGTACATTGGCGTAAATGATGAGAGATTGTTAGAGCAGTGCAAAGGGAAAGTTGGAGACCAGAAGGTGGCATTGGCTTAATTGCCCTCTGTTTTTTGTCTTCTTATATGTCCTATGGTTTAGGGAGTGATTTTTGTTTGCTTTTGTTGCCTTTGTATTAGGCACTTCGTCGGCTAGCACAGAATCGTGAAGCTGCAAGGAAAAGCCGAATGAGGAAAAAGGTAATATTCGATGTATTGGAACTTCGCTTGCTTGATAACACAACAGCAGAAGAATTGTGCTTATAACAGTGCTTATGTTCTTGTTTTCATTTTTGTGTTAGAAATTTCGATAATCAAGACAATTCTTGAATGATAGAAATTTTTATCATTGTCTAGGCGTATGTTCAGCAGCTCGAGAATAGTCGACTAAGGCTTACACAGCTGGAGCAGGAGTTGAAAGTAGCGCGGCAGCAGGTGCTTTCAAATTGCCATGTGTACCGTATTGTTCAAAAACTACAAAGTTTTTTAGTTCTTACAATCTTTCTTACAACAATGTTCAGGGAATCCTTGCTAGATCCGGATTATCGGCTGATCAGAGCCATTCTATGGGCCGGAACGGTGAGTCATATTACTTCCTGTTATTTTGTCGATTACGATTTTCTTTATCAAGATCGGATAAAGTAATCTTAAAGAGAATGTGCCGTAGGAGCTGTGGCATTCGACATAGATTACGCGCGATGGCTGGATGAGCACCAGCGACTGATCGGCGATTTGAGATCAGCTGTGAATTCTCAAGTGGGTGATAACGAACTGCGACTCCTTGTGGACGAGGTGATGTCTCATTACGACGAGATTTTCAGACTCAAGAGCATCGGTGCCAAGCTGGACGTGTTCCACATTCTCTCGGGAATGTGGAAGACTCCCGCCGAGAGGTGTTTCATGTGGCTCGGCGGGTTTCGATGCTCCGAGGTCCTAAAGGTAGCGATTTTAAGTAAATTTTTATACGAGTTTGATCGACGGGTTTGCGCGCATTTAATTGTTGTTCTTATTCGATGATGTCTGTTGGTGATTTCAGATTCTCGGAAACCAAATCGAGCCTTTAACCGAGCAACAGCTCATGGGCATTTGTAATCTGCAGCAATCCTCCCAACAGTTCGAAGACGCTCTGTCCCAAGGAATGGAAGTGTTGCAACAATCGCTCGTTGACTCACTTTCCTCCAATTCCCTCCTGCCTCACAACGTGGGAAACGTCGCCGTCTACATGGGACAGATGGCCACGGCGATGAGCAAGCTCGCCTCGCTCGAGAATTTCATTCATCAGGTATGTCGAGATAATTACAAATTTAAGATTGTAAGTAAATACATCGTTAGTTACGTATTATAGAGGTCCGTCCTTTAAGTAAATATCCGTTTGTTTTTTGTACGGAATTTAATGTACATTAGTATTATATTGATATGCAGTAAAAATAAAGTAGAAATAACTAAAATAACTTTATTAATATTGTGTGATATAAAAGTAATGACATTTGTTTAATATGTTGTAAGTTGTAATGATATTTGTAATGTTAGACAAATAGTTCAGTTAAAATAGATACTTTAATATGGAATGGACAAAATGAAAATATAGATAGTTTGGTAAGGGACGGAAGGAAGGAAGAAGGAGAACTGTTAACGAGCCAAGCCGAGCTGAATTTTAAGTGTTCGTGTTCGTTCGTTAACGTTCGCGAACGAGGCTCGTGTTCATATGTTAATCTTTCTAAGCTTTCGAGCTCGTTTATAGTGTTCGAGCTCGGCTCGTTAAGAATTTTTATTGTTTGAGTTTATGTTCGTGTTCGACTCGTTTAGGCTCGATTAAGCTCGTTTGAGTTTGTTTGTCTCATTTTTTATAATTTTTATATAAATTAAAAAGAAAAATTAAAATTATTTTATTTTTTATTTTAAATTGATATTTTATTTATTTATAAATTATAATTTAATGTATATATAATATTTATAATAAATATATTATTTTTTAATGAACGATCGCTCGCGAACAAAGTTCGGGCTTGTTCGTTAATCAAACGAGTCTGTTTATGCTGTTCGGCTCGACTCGTTAATGTTCGCGAACGAGCTTTATTCGAGCCGAACTGAGCTGAGTTCACGAACGACTGGGTTCGTTTCACAGTTCTAGAAAGGAGTATATAGTCTTCCAACACGACCTATTGTTTCGATGTATCATTTAAATAATCATTTCATTTAAAAGTATAATCTAATAGAAAAATACATTATTAATTACAGGCGGACACGTTGAGGCGGCAGATTTTACAGCAGCTGCCGAAGATACTGACCACCCGTCAAGCTGCCCGAGCCCTTCTCGCCATAAGTGACTATAAATCGAGGCTGCGTGCTCTGAGTTCCCTCTGGTTGGCTCGTCCGAAGGAATGATCGATCAATCGACCATACAGTCAAATCTAATGTATTCTCTTCTTGTTTGGAATCCTTATTCTCTTTGGAAAAAGTTTGTTCATTTTCAGTGTTTGTCATTTGGCATGTTGTAAGTAGTTCTGTCTTTAATGAATTGGTTATGGCGCGAATCCGATGTGCAAGTTATAAATTTAAACGTGAAACGGTTATAAAAGTAGAAACCGCCACAATTGGTCTTTCAAAAACTCTGGATTCCCTCCCGTCTCATGTCAAAATCTCTACCACAGTTGGTTTGAGGATGGATCCGTCGCCTCCACTGCCGGAGCCTCTGCCTCCGCCTTCCACTGGTGTTCCGGTGAAGATCTCCGCCATACATCCTCTCGCTCCATGGTCCACTGGCCTGTGCGATTGCTGCGATGACGTCAGGACTTGTAAGACGCAATTAATTTCCACGCATCGACTTTGCTATTGTTGTTGCAGTTCAATATTGATCAGTTTAATTTGTTCATAGGTTGCTTAACGTGTTGGTGTCCGTGCGTAACGTTCGGTCGGATAGCAGAAATCGTTGATCGAGGATCGACATGTACGAATCTTCATCTACTCTGTTTCAATTACACAGGATGTTACAAATTTTAATGTCATTCCTCAAAATTCATACCTTATTGTTGATAAATTCCTCCAGCCTGTGAAGTTAGCGGAGCGTTGTACTCGATGATGCTCTGCTTATGTGGTTGCTCGCGCCTATACTCGTGTTGCTACCGATCGAAACTGAGGGGACAGTATTTCCTGAAGGAAAGTCCTTGTACGGATTGCTGCGTCCATTGCTGCTGTGAGTCCTGTGCGCTGTGCCAAGAGTACAGAGAACTACAAAACCACGGAATTGACTTGTCCATAGGTAAATTGAAATCATCTTTCATAACGCAAAATAGTACGTCAACCAAAGCTACGGATTTCATTCTACAAAATGCTTCATTACTGGTTTTTTCTAATCTTCTTCTTCTTTTTTCTTTTTGGTTTTGAAAATGCGTGAAGGATGGGAAGGGAATTTGGTAAGGGAGAAAAGAAGGTGTGGTGCTATGGTTCCACCAATTGTAAATAGCATGAAGCGTTAGAATTGCAGGTATTAAGGCTCCCTTCGTTTGTGTATATTATATGTATATTATTTTTATATATTTATATGAAATAATATATATAAAATATTAAAAAAGTTACTTTTATCCAAAAATATAAAATACAAAAGAACATGTTCTATATGCATTTTTATTTATTTATTTATTTTTTATGCAATATAATATAATTTGATTTCTTCATTAAAACATGCACTGATTGTTATCTTGCCATTCTTGTATTCAAGTAGCGTTTATGCGATCAAATCTTTAGGCCTAGGACATTCATCTACAAGCATTATCTTGTTCGTTTAAATTTTAGTCGTTGCCATATACATATGAAAATGCTTTTCTTTTTTCTTTTTTTCCCTTCAAATTTGGAAATTTGCATATTAAAAGTACACTCGTTTCATCCCTTAACATATCCGGCTGTTTAGAGCATTTATATGCATAAGTAAATTTCTTATTTAATAAATATATAGCCTGTAGGTATGTTAGATTTGGTCAAGTCAGTATTTGTTCCAATTAGCACATATGGTCAGGATCGACAGTACAATGTTTTTATATTGTATTAAAATACAATAAGAACAAAAACGTGAAAATAAATACTCCTTCTGCCCTAATTACTCATATTTTTTTTCAGTAAATTAAGAAATAATAATAATATTGTATTGATAAGTGAAAATAAGTAAAATTGTTTTGATAATCTACCTAAATATAAAAAGGAATTGATTGACTCTACGCCACTGAAAAGGGAGTGTTTGACGGAACACCACCTGCTGGTTAGACACTAATTTTAAATTTTATTTTCGATTACGTGTTTATTTAGAAATATTAGATTAAATTTAGTTAATACTCCACTTTCTTGGATACCGAAATTTTAATATAAAAGTAAAGTAGATAATAAAAATAGAGTGAAAATAAGAAAATTATTAAAAAGTTAATAAAAAATAATTATAATTTGATTATTGTTTTTGTTAAAAAATTATGAGTAGAAAATGTTTACTATTTGACTACATGTAATTTAGTCAATACCTATAAGAGAAAAAAAATACATAATTATTCAAAATGAAGAGAGTAATTGTTAACTGATATGAATAAAATGACAAATAAATTATTATGATTGTTATGTTATTAATCTAATGTTCATTAGGACAATGAATCAAATTCTGTATATTTTGAACCAATGACAATTTCACTCTTCCATCAATCTGCACCCTAAATACAAGTGTGTTGCTATCTTGACTATAGTCAAGCGGTAATTTTTTTTTTTTTAATTTTTTTTAGTAACGTGAGAATTCTCGTGCGATAATTTTTTTTTTTTCGCACTCAATCAAAAATAATTAAGTTCTACAAAACAAATTATACTAAGAAAATGATGTGTAACAAGCTGGAAAATTGGGTTTGAACTATGACCTTTGGATAAAAGTTTTGGGGTAAAATAATAAATCTAAATTGAATTATGGGGTCTGCTATGCTCTGGGCCGCCTCAAAAGCCTAAGGCTCCAAATTCCAAATAATAAATTAGTTAGGGAGCGGTTGTTGTATGAATGACGCGGCCCACCTTCACACTTCAGTCTCTCTGCTCTTTACAAAGCAGGGGATCCATACCTTATCCATGGCGGAATATCGCAGCATAGGGATCTTTCTCTCTTAGCACACAGTTAACACAGAGATGTTGTCGATGTCGATTCAACCAAGGATAGAGAGCAATTTGACGAGGCAGCCTAGCTTAGCGTTCACGAATGTCTCCTTCACCTGCCTTCACTCGAAGCCCTCACTCTCTCTGCAGCAGCGAAAACTGCCGCCGTCGGATCTGAAAATTGAATCCGTCGGGACTCGGAGGTTACCTCGTGCTGCAGAATTAGCCACCGCGGAAACGCCGGATGAGGTAGTTTCAGAGAAGGAGGAGGCGCTTGTCGAAGAACAACCTCAGGTTAGATTTTGATATCACTGCTCTCTCCTCTAATCTTAAGATAAATGTTTAAGGTCGCTTCCGTCCGGCCTGTTCATGTAGGAAAACGCACCGCCTCTCAGCGGCGGCGATTGGCAATTACGCTAACAACAATTTCAACGGATTATATAGAGATTTTTCATTTGTTAGCGTAATTGCCAATCGCCGCCGCTGAGAGGCGGCGCGTTTTCCTACATGAACAGGCCGGACGGAAGCGACCTTGAACATTTTTCTCAAGCGAATTTGATTAGTTAGTTATCTTCAAAAATCAATTAGTGTATTTGTGTATAAACAAAGTTGGAGGTAACTAAAATGGCCTAAATTACTCTCGTCAGGGTAGCTGCGACATAAAAAAATTGGCCTAAACTACATGAAAGTGTATTACTATTGTATAATTTTAACTGATAAAACTGTATTTAGATGTGCTGCCATATTGCTCAATTCCTCTACAGCACAGCTGTATTGGCTGTGTTTGGAGCATTGCTGTGTTGTTTGATATACATGTTTTTGTATTAAATAACATAACCTGTGTTCTTGAGATATATAGACAACAAGGACACATGGTTGCGTTTTCAGGCTTTATTTCTGAGATACACAACCGTGTATTTCAAAAAATATAGTCGTGTAGTAACTAACATTGTTGTGTTTTTGGAGCTTAACTCGACACTAGCAAGGTTTGTCAAATCTTGCCAAAATTGTGATTAAATTATGCTGGAACTAGAACTGTATCTTCCCCATATTTGTTTTTTGTGTTGTTACAAATTGGTACTATATTTTTATCTGTATGTACATATGGTGATTAAACAAATTCCATTTGGGAAGGTTGGGAAAGAAGCAAAATCAAGAGCTCGACCTCGGCTGGTGTTGAAATTCATATGGATGGAAAAGAACATAGGAGTAGGGCTAGATCAAATGATACCGGGGCACGGGACAGTGCCGTTGAGCCCATACTTCTTCTGGCCGAGAAAAGATGCGTGGGAAGAGCTGAAGACGACGCTGGAGAGTAAGCCGTGGATATCGCAGAAGAAAATGATCATACTTCTAAACCAGGCTACGGATATCATCAACCTCTGGCAACAGAGTGGAGGTAATTTGTCCTAACTCTCACTTACTTTCTTGGAATTCTTCTGCTATATTGTTTATTGTTATGATCACTCACTTGGAACACTAATTTTCATGTGTTAATATTATTATTGTTATTAATTTTTATTATTTGAATTAGTAGATATTTAGGGTGTCATTTGAATCTTGGAAGTTTTCTAATTTTCAATCTATTTGAAATGAGAATAGTGAGTTACATTGAAAACATAAAGCAAGCACAATTCTAGTGTTAATAGAACTCAAATGGTGTGTTTAAATTTGTGCCTTTGGTGTCAAAACTAAGTGTAAATAGTAATCGCATACTAACTATTGAAAGTAAATGTGGCATATTATGACGTTCCTAAAAATTTGTAAACATATTTGTTTGTCCAATTTTCTTTTTCGACTTAATTTTTAATATATATATATTTTATTCTTTTACAAAAAAAAAAAATCAAAATTTAATATAAAATATTATTATTTATATTACCAATATAATTCTTTATAAAATATAAAAACAAACCCACCCATATACGTACTTTTTAGTAAATTAAAAAATAATAATATTTTATTAATTAATGAGAATGTAAATAATAATTACGTAGTATGACAGGTTTTTTAATTTAGATAAAAATTAAAAGTAAAAAAACACTTTGAATAGATAAAAATTAAAAATAAAAAAACACTTTGAATTGGAACGTGAGTGTAAATACATACCACATGTCAATATTGGTCTCGATATTTTAATTCGATTTCATTTATCTTTTTGCGTCATTATTATACTATGTTTTCATATAACAATTAATATTCAATGAGACCCATTTTTTTTAATTTGTACTACGTTTTTTATATAACAATTAATATTTAATGAAACCTTTGGAGCCCGCCGGAGGTTGCAGTTTTTATATTATCAAATACAATTAATACATATATATATATATATATATATATACCTTCAAAGTAAAACATGATACTAAATTTTATTCAAGATATTCATTTACGCACTGGCTTTATTAATATTAATTATAGGCATAAGTATGCGAGTACAAACACATAAAACACTGATCATCTATAATAAAACTATCAACAATCTAAACATACACTCAAGAACTAATCAATCACTTCGATAAAATAAAAGACTACTAATCTTAAAAAGCAATTAGAATTCTGATTTAATATTTAAGTAATACTTACACTACATGAAACACACCACACCACACAATTCATTCTAGACAACACAAACACAATAATAATATTTCATATTAATCATAGAAAGGAAGGCATGCAAAATAACATTAAGTAATATCCTTGCCTACCATTTGCTTTTTTGATCGATAAATAATGTAATCACGAGTATTCAAAACCAGACATAACTTGTTACTGTTTTGAAACCAATCTCAATAACAAGATTTACCTGTCTCCGGGAGAGGATTGATTCGTGATACATTGGCATCTAATTAAATGATCGCCTCTCAAGCGTACAAACAGAAATTAAAACAATCACCGAAAACAAGTTCAAGAACGGGGACACAGATCAGAAACCCATTTTAGTGTGTAACTTTGTAATCAAAACATCACTACGGATTGAAAAACAGCATGTTTCTTAATAACAGGAAAAAAAAATAAAAAAATCTACAGTTAAGGTTAGAGTAGAGGAACCGGAATTAATTCATGGGACAACATCAAACTTTTAGATGCGCAGAAATAGTCATTTCCAGGGTGGGCATCCTTGTAAAGATTACATGATGAAATCAAAATTTCTATTTTAAGTGAACGAGGAGGGATTTCATCACACCACCACAATATGTTGCTAAGCATCTATAAAATTCGCCTATAAATACACGTCTAATTTGTTACTAATGTTATGTTTTTTCTGAGAAATCTTTTCTATCTCTACCCGAAACTGTCATTTGTCACCACTGTTAACTACCTTTAAAGGCAGACGACCATAAAAGTAAGAACTGTAATGCTCCTTTTTCAGTTATAAGTTGCATTCAACAATACACTTTGTTGAATCATTTTAATCAACTTTCAAGCACGATATTTTTGCCCTTTATTTACGGGTCTATAGGGGTTTAGGATGATACCCCAAGTAGACACTATGCCAAAGTGTGACCAAAGGTTTCCGTAAAAGTGTTCTCTTTTATTATTATACTATTTTTCAGTTTTTTACCATGCAAGCCTCACGACTCCTATAAAAATACCTGTCTCACAAAAAATCACACCCAACCCACTATTTAAACCAAAAATCAAAAAGAAATCGCCTAGTAAACCAACTGCAAGTTTAATAGAAAATTGCACAAGGATAACAATTATTCATTCCATGGTTCTTTTCGAAAAAAAAAAAAAGGGATCTTAGCATCAATGTAGCAGCTTGCAATCTGATATATCGACTAAAAAACAATAAGAGAAATAGGGAGTACTCACTCACCAGAATCATAGAAGTGAGACTGCACAACCCTGCAGATGCAAAAGGTACAGGTCATGACTAGTTCCGATAATTGTTTGGGGGTGAATTAATATCCATGCGAAAATAATAAAGAATATCTTAACCACTTATGAAACTCTTTCCAAACTTCTTAACAGTATCCAAACTTCTCCAGTCTCCACGGCATAATTATCCTCATGAACAACCAAACCATGGATCAGGCACATTGAAAACTTAATGAAAAATCAAAACAGCATTGTAAAACCAATTCAAAAGAAAGATGCAAATGTAGAACTTGAACCCAAATCACAGAGCATAATGCACATAACGACTGCAATAGATAACTACTAAATCACAAGTGAGTATTAGATTTTTTGTAAACAAGACATTTGGGGTCTAATATAGCTTAGATAAATATATATATATATATATCAATTATAGAAGAACAATAAGCAAGTTAAGCAGTGTAAGAATAGTAAATCACCAAATGCTAAAAACTTTGAAAAAAAGGTAACCACCATCGAGGTCATGGCAGATGATTCTAGAAAACATTCAAGTAGCTTAGGTTTAAAACTTTTAGCATTCTCAAAGGTTCCATACATAAAGTCCTAAGAAACAGACCAAGGTACCTTCTTCAAAGTGCCTTTAATCATCTAAACCACTGAATGGTTTCCTCACAGCACGGCTAGATTTCCTGAATGAAAGATCAGATTAGATTCACGAGAGTATGAGACCCCAGGCCCATAGTGGAAAATAAGAGTAAACAGAGAATCTTCACCAACTTGTGAATGGCCAAGAAGAGTAATAATAACAAGGTAGAAGATTCATGTGTAGACCTATATATATATATATATGCATGTATGGAGAGACCTGAGCTAACCCTTGGCATTATGTTCAGCATGTACAAGAAAATAGAAATAACATTAAAACAAGACCTAATTTTATTCTCGTGATTGTCACCATTATATATTATTAATACACATAAAGGGGAACACGCCTTCAGTGAGTTTCTTACAATCGAAACAGTAAACAGTCCACGGTAAGCATTCTCCATCACTTGCCTCCCTCAAAGATCTCCAGACCTTCGACCAAGCTCATCGGCCACACCATACTCCTTGCCCCGAGAGAGAAGACAAAGACAAATGCCCAATCATTAGATAAATCAATATTGAGATGGTACCAAATGTGTGAGTTTCTAAGGCATCAGCCGTTTCCGTAGTTATAGGATCAACATGACCGTGATTCACTTGTCAGTGATGAAAGGATGATTCAAGGCCTGTGATACATTCAACCTCTTGTCCGGATCCAAGATGAATATTTTTTCCATAAGATCTTTGAAATGAGCTACCATTTTCAGATCCTCACCAGGAGATGCAGAAATCAATGAGCCAAAATCTTTTGGCTTGACATTTACAATCAGTCTCCGTATTATCTGCACAAGAAAAAGAAAAAGAAAAAAAATCAACAAAAAATGCTCAATCCATGGATCCAAATAATAATAATAATAATATTAATACCTTCTTTGAGACAGAATCATCCTCTGTTGCAAGAAAATTTAAATCGTGATCGAAGTGTTGATCAGTAAATGCTCCCTGCCATATAGTAGGGTGCGAGTGCATGATTAATAAATACCATATATAAACAATAAAGACCATAATTTAAACAGGAACAGTCTAGGTAAGTTAATAAAGTTTAATTCATACCTTTCGGAGCATCTTTTTGGGAAAAGGACCTTTCAATTCCATGTGAAGACGAAGCATATCATTATTAGTAGCACCAGGAAAGAGAACCTTCCCGGTGTAAAGCTCAAACAAGCAACATCCAACTGACCAAACATCCAAGGGATGGTCATAGGGAAGGCCAAGAACTAAGATGGAACAATAAAACACTACAGTTAGCCCACCCAATTTTTTGAGAGAGAAGCAATTATAAAATACAAAATAAAGAAATACTTACTGATCTCAGGAGCACGATAAAATCGGCTGACAAGGTAAGGTGTGATTTCATTTTTACCCGCAAACATGGCACTGCCCAAGTCACAAAGCTTCAACACATTTTTGGCTTCATTGACCTGAAACAAAAAGGGTTGCAGAATGATTACTTAAGGAAATCAAAATACCATGAAAAATTACAATAGCCAAAAAAGGAAAAGGATTCAGGCCACATACCAATATGTTATCAGGCTTTATATCGCAATGAAGAATGCCACAGTTCTTCAGATGTTTCAATGCAACGAAGAGCTGCTTAGCGTATGCCCGTACAGCAGTTAGCTTCAGACCAATATTACGACCAAATTTCTTGAGAACTTCTCGTAAATTCATATTAAGAGATTCAAAAACTAGACAAAGATGATTTCGATACTTGAAGGTTGAAAGAAAACGAACGCAGTGCCGCCTGTCCTCAGGATCCGCCCCAACTAACTTCTTTAATATAATCAATTCTTCCATACCTGCCTTGTACCTATAAGAAAGAGAAAAATATATCATAAACCATGGGCTACAGGAGCCATTGATCTAACATACAAGAAAACAAAAACATAAGAGTCGTCATTGCTCACATTGTTTTATTATTGCGTATGATCTTAATTGCCACTTCATTTGGGTCACCAGATTTCGCTCTGAGATTCTTGGCACGTACAACCGTAGAAAAAACACCTTTACCTTGGGCAGCAATTATTTCATACCGGCCTGCAAGTATTTCTCCAAATCGATATCCTGATAGTAACATCAGAAGAGGATTATTAGCAAATTCAGAAATTAGGCTTATAAAGAGACAAAACTATTTTCCTTGAATGGATAAAGGGGCGAGATGAAATCACGCTCATCGCAGGGGTCTAAGGTTCAATGGTGTACATGTTTTATTCCCACCAATCTAAACAAATCTTGAAACAGATGCACATCAACCTAACAATTACAATGCAAATAAATAGAGAAATAAATACAAACAAGAACAGCCCTACGTACGACAAGTGTAAAGTGTTTTCAGCAAAGTGAGGGAGGAGCATGAAAATTCATGGACAAGGTCTTATATATAATCAGAAGAAAGATAAGGAATGTGTGCCTACCGTAGTAACCTTCTGCATCATCCCAATTGTCATGTAGCCCAATTTTGGCAATAGCTAGATCATCTCCTTTACCCTGCAGAAGAATATAATGCACAAGAAACCTTTTTAATAAGAATAATAATGCAAGCAGCAGTTATTAACATCATAAGAAAGAAAATTATTTTAAGATGTGGGACAAAAAATAGGGAAATTGTGAGACTGACCGGTTTACGAACTTCAGCAGGTGATTCTCCAAAGATATCATCAGAAAATATATCTTCGGATCTCTCGCTCTGAAGAATGAGGAAGGGGAGGGTGTTAATTACAATCTCAAAATATTTAGGAGAAGAAAAAAAAAAAAAAAAAAAAAAAAAAAGAATCCTGTAAACTGTACAAGATAATGAAGACATCAAAGCGACATCAAAGCGCCCATGTACAACTCTTTCTTATATAAAGACATAGAAAGTAAAAGACATTTTCCAAGTGAATTTAAAGTGCTTTAATCAACAATAGCCAATAATAAATACCTTAGGGGTGCCTTCTCCAAGTCCACCAGTTCTAGTAGGCATCTGAATAGCAGCAATACCATCTGAAACAGATGACTCAGGGGCACAAACATCTTCTCCTTCCAATTGGTTTTCATGTTTCTCTTGTATAACCTCACCATATGCCATTTGTGTAAAGGATTCTCCAACTTGATGCTTAACTGGAACACCTGGTGCAAGGCCATTCAATTATAAAATGAACAAAGAAAAAAAATAATTAAGGGTTCACCAAACCAAATGGGATGAAAATGTAAAATTTTTGCCATCAGAGCTATGGATTTGAGGTCAGCTAGAAAGCAATAAAGATGGAATTGAATAAGGGCTGAAACCTCTAAAACAAGAACTCATCCATAATAGTAAATAAGATCCAGATGATACTTAAAAATGAATGGAACATTCAAAATTGATCCCCTCATCATGAAAAGGAAAATTTTCTAGACGGGGCATACTCATAATGAATAAATGCCATTAGAAGATAAAGCCAAGGTTAATTTAGTCCTCGCACACCAATTCAGTAGCAAAAACTTCAAAATTTGTTGTTTACATACAGAAGCACTTACCCAAATCTGGTGCCGGTGCTTCATTTTGCTGCTGTTTATTTTTGTACTTCTCAAGAATAGCTTGTGTGCGTCTCCTGCTTTCCTCTTTAAGTTTCTTAAGCTTATCTTCTTCTTCAAGTTGCTCTGAAATCTCGTCTTCATGGTCCTCTTGTATGCTGCCTTCTCTGAGATACCCGAAGCATAAAGTTAACTACTAAAGAAAAACCAATGAATGAGAAGAAAATGTAAACAATTCAAACCATTTTTTTATGTCGCGTACCTTCCAATATTATTGTTTCCCATTTCATCTTGCTTATTTTTAGGGGAAGAATCTTCTAAATCACTTCTCCTTGATCTCTCTTTACGGCGTGCTTCAGAATTTCTTCTATGCAGAATTTCATCATCCCCATCTCTTTTATAAACTTCATGTTTGGCATATTTTTTATGCCTGCTTATGAGATCATACCCATTTGGGGTACCCCTTTTTCCATCTGCAACCCCTCCTGTACCTCTCATAACCTGGAATCTCTCCTCTCTGTCTCGATCCTTCACCAAATCCCTTTCTTTATCTCGTTCCTTCTCTCTGCCCCTTCTGCTCTCCCTCTCCCAATGGCCATCTATGTCTCTTTCCTTGCTTCTGTGTTTGGACCTCTCTCTCATCATCTCACTATCTCCATCTCGAAGTTTGTTATTTTTCCTGTTGCTTGCCATCTCCTCGATTTTCTTTTCTTTCTCTCTAACTCCTCTATCTCTATTCTCTTTTCCATACGCATCACTATCCCTTCCGTGAGGCCTTTCTCTTCTATCCATATATCTGCTAGAACCGTACTTCCTTTCTTTATCCATTACACCATCCTTGCAGGTTTCAACTCTCCTGTCATCCTCCGCAGAAATCTCTCGTATGATGCTGGGGGATTGACCTGTCTTCTCAGCATCTCCATGGAGGACGTTATTGTCAGATATCTGCAGACAATAACCATTTGTATTAGAATTACATATCACATCTTGATCAATCTCACCACTTCGCCGGCCCATTCCACCTTCAGCTAATTTCCTTATTCTTTTATGAGCTACCACTGCATCAACATTGCCAACACCCTGCAAATGAAAACATACATAGGACAAAAAACAAAGAAGAAGAAGAAGTCAGCACCATGCTAAAGGAGTTCAAAAATTAACAGTCTTAAAATCAATTGGAAGTCATCATGTTTCAGATTCCTCGAAAGACCATACAACATTGTGTTTGTTTGGAGGGTTTTACAAAACTTTTACTATTTACTAAACTTTCTCTTTAAAAACATCAAATAAAACACCTTTTTTTTTTTTTATATAGTGTACTAAAAATCAATTCTACATTCAAAATATCACATCAAACTCTTATTTATGTTGCATCAAAACAAATATTAAAATTCAAATTTTTTACTATTTAAAACACTAACCCAAGAACCCAAGATCCAAGCCCACAAAACAAACACACTGGAGGAACTTTGTCCCGCCCGCAATCATGTATTGTAAAGCATATCATATTATCATATGCACAAATCTCACAAAAATACTCAGTTCAACAACCATCGAACAAACACGCAGGAATCCTTAACATCATTCTTAGTTAATGAGAATCTCAAAAGTTACTTCAAAATATGAGGCAAGAACAGACAATGTACACCTGTGTCTAATGAAAGTATTTCTACAGATTCTATATTTCAATTCCTGTTAGATAAAAGTAAATTTCGCTCACAAGATAAAACAAACAATGCTTCATCTAACCCTAAAAGAAACAAGAATCATTGCCAAACCAATTAATCACGATGATGAAACAATTGCATAGAGAATCGGAACAAACCATAGTAGAGCGACAGTTTCCATTCGTCCCAATCTCCCCAGATTCCACATCCGAATGGAAATCCCGATAATTATCCACGATCTCTCCTTCTTCCATATCATTATCTCCCATCCCTCGGGATCCCGATCCACCGGAAAACAGAACCTCTCCCAACGAACCACCGTTCTCGCCCCCAATATTTCCCAGATTCCTATCTTCAACATCAATTATACCAATTTTTTCAACCTCCGATTCTCTCGTGGATACGACAGTTGCCTCTTCAATTTCTTTATCGCTCCTATGCCGGCGGTGATGGTGATGATGTCGGTGTTTCCGGCGCTTCGAACGAGACTCGGCATCGTCACCGGCGGAGGAGCGGTGGTGCTTCTTCTGACGCGTTGATTCGCTTGCCATCGGCGATGACAAAGTCAAAAGGATCGAATCGTGATCGATCGCGCGAACAGTAAATCCACAAAAATCGATGATCGTTTCGTTTGGAAGGAGAACGAAGATTACGTTGATTTGAACGCAAATTCGCCTAATATCATCATATGTATGTATGTAAGTCGTGGATGGACATGGATCGTATCACACACGGAAACCTATTTCTAACAACATCCCTACACTATTTATGATCAACAATTAAGCCCCTTGTTTACCTAAAATATCAAAATATTTCCAAATATAAATGTACCAATAGGAAGTCCCACTTGTTTGGTTTATGGATTTGATTTTTATTTTTTTTTGAATTGAAATTTTACAATATCAATATGTGATTTATTATATTTAGGATATAGATATGTTTGGTTGGTTTTTGTTTGTTTTTCATATGAATTGAAGAATTTGAATTTTTTATATTTTAAATAACATAATTCCTATGAATTTTATTTATTTTGATAAATAAAACCTCTAATTTATTATTAATATAAATTGAAAAGATATCCATAATTTTATAGGAATGACAATAGGTTCGTGTAAACTCGAAACCCAACCGAGCCTGACCTATTTGTTTGAAGTTGAGTCCAATTATTTGAGTATTAAGTCTAAGTCCAGATCATGTTCGGAGTAATATAATAATATATCAACTATACATATGAAAAAATAGTTTTTAATTTTTTAATTATGTTAAAAATATTTTTTGAGTTGAACTTATTCATTATTTTATTATAATATTTTTTAAATAAAATATATAAATTTTAATATATAGTCCACTACATGTGCAATTTTAAATTAAAATTTAAGAATTGTAAAAAAAAAAATGAATTTTTCGGATCAATCCAATCTTACCGGGTATAGTTTCGATCAGATCCGGTGTAATCGAATCCAATTTGAGTTTCGGATCTAATAATATATATTTAGTACGAATATCAGTTCCAACTGAACCCGACTCATTATCATTCTTATAATTTTATAATTCAAATAAAATTTATAATATAATAATTTTAAACAATAAATTTATTTATTATTTTTTTAAAAAAAAACTATACCATAAAAAATAATATAAATTTAATTAAATATATAATTTAAATAATAATTAATTTTTAAATTATTTAATTTTTATTTTATATAAATATAGTATTCAATTATAAAATTTATAATAAATAATAATTTTAAACAATAAATTTATTTATTATTTTTAAAAAAAAAAACTATACCATAAAAAATAATATAAATTTAATTAAATATATAATTTAAATAATAATTAATTTTTAAATTATTTAATTTTTATTTTTTATAAATATAGTATTATTTATTTTATAAGAGAATATAAAAGTAAAAATTAAAATTACACGGGATTTAAAAGTAACAGAGCTATCCGATTAAAAAAAATTCCTTATTTGTAGGATTTTGGATCTTTTTTAAATCTCATCATTTTAAATTTCACCATCTTTCTTTTAACCAAACATAGATTGAATAGAATTTTAAAATTCAAATTCCATAAAATCTCATTTATATATACAAATAGGAGTATAATATACTTTATAAATAAAAGATTTTTTGTTTTTTAAAAATAACACATATTAAAAAACTTTAATATGTTATATATATTTATTATTTTTACATATATAATTTTTTATATTTCATATAAAAAATATATATATATCTTTTCAAATTATTAACAAAACAAACTCATTCAAATATATATAATAAAGACTTAAATATACCAACCCTCGTGAATATTATTTTTAGGGAAAAAATTAATTTTGATTCCAATATAATCAAAATTTATAAATTTTGGTCTCAATATAAAAACCTCGTCAATTTTAATTTCACTCTAAACAATTTCAATCAATTTTGGTCTCACCATTAAAAAATAAGCAGAAGTTATTGACGCACGTAACGAAGTTGTGACGTGACAATTGCTCTGGAAACAACACGGCCCATGGCCATATTGTCACACGGTCGGGTTTAATTCTATAAGGCCGTGTACTTTTCTGTTTTGGTTTAAAATTTTATTTTTTTGTTATATTTTTTAAAAATATATATATTGAAAATTTAGTATAGTGGATAAAGTTAAACTAGAAAAATCAACGGTAATTCTAATATAATTAAAATGTTTAAATTTTAGTTCAAAAATAAAAATTTACGAGTATGTTCTTTTGAAAAATTTTTACTATTTACAAAATTTTTTCCTCTTACAAATATAAAATTACACGAGGGTCTTACCTTCGTCGGATATTGTTATAAAAAAAAATATGAAAGGATCTAAAGTTTTATTTACGAAATCGAGTAAAAACAAAAATATTGAACTAGTTTTGGTTTGACTCAGCCCTAACCAACTCGGAAAAGCCAAAATCGACACAAACACACAAACTAGCGACTACACAAAAGAGCACTGTCCCAAAACCCACAAAACAAGACAAAAAGAACCCCCACAGAACGTAGCGAGGCATACAACAACACCACCTCAAGTCTACCAAGTTGAACGAGCCCCTTGCGACTACGGACAACAAAACAGAGAGTAAACGTGCCAAAGAAGCTCCACACAAAAGTAGAAGGAAGGTACCGCCGTAGAACCGCCAAAAAGTCGCCGGAAAAACGCGTGAGAGTGAGAGCGGGAGAGGCTAGAGAGAGGGCGAGTTTTTAGAGAGATGAAGTATGAGAGTGAATAATGACTTCGCCCCTCTCTCACTCCATATATATACTTAGGTCAAACAACATCGGACGACCAAGATCAAATCACCAGATCGGACGGTCAACGCACCGTCTAAGAAAGACGCGGAGCCCTAGTGGATCAGGGTCGAAGAAGGACGCGGAGCCCCAGTGGGTCAGGGTCGTGGGCTCGGGCTTGGGTCATGGGCTTGAGATGTGGGTCAGGGCCAAAGTGTCATTTGGGCTGCTTAGTGAGTGTGTATTGTGTTTAAATTAAGGTGGATCCAAAGGATTATAAAATCCAACAAATCCTCCACCTGATTTTTCATCCAAATGGTTGGGGTACATTATCGTCCATATGTTTACCTGCATAAAAGAAAAGACATAATGTTAGTAAAAAATATTAACTTAGCCTACCTACTACTCTAAGTAGTACAAGGCTAATCAAAGGTTGATACAATGTATGTATTTCATACAAAACACAAATTTATTTGCAGGTAAAACCTTAGTACCCATATCAGATGGGTTATATTCAGAAGGAATCTTTTCTAATTTTAAAATTCTTTTAGATACAATATCACGTATGAAATGAAAACGTACGTCAATATATTTGGTTCTATCATGAAATACAGGGTTTTTGCAGGATTAACCACAATACTTCTTTTAAAGCTTCAGTTATTGCAACATATTCAGATTCTATAGTTGATAATTCTACAATGTGTTGCAATTGAGATTTCCAACTTATACAAGTTCCACACAAAGTAAAAACATAGGAAGTTGTATAAGTTGGAAATTTCAATTGCAACACATTGTAGCATTATTCACTACAGAAGAATTGATAATATAAACACGGCCGTGTTTTTAGCATTCAAATCGGATGCCACCTCAGATTTTGTTACAGCCACATCATCATATTCTGTTAAATTTAAAAGGTGGGATAAAAAATGATAAATTTTTTAATGGGATTAATTTTAATAAATTTTTTTTTTAATTGGACTAAAAATGAAAAAATAGAATTTGAATGGGACTACTTTTGATTTTTGCTCATATCATGGGAGAGAAGGAGAGGGCAGCCGTGGAGTAACTCTCATTTTCATCTTTTCTCACTTTCTCACTCTAAACCCTCTCTCTCGTGCGATTCTCTCTGGCTGGTGGTGTATCCTTCTATGGTGCTTTATCTTGTTTCGACGGTGGAGATTTGGCATAAATCCATTCCCCCGTTTTGGCATTTTTCGAGCAGAAAAGAGCGTGTTCGTCGGCGGCGGCTTGCGATTGTGGTCTGTGGTGTTATTTTTGTCCGCTCATGTTCCGTAAGCCTCTGTTCTTGAGTTTGGGGTTTTTTTTTGGTCTGGTGAAGGGAGAGCTTATTTCTGATTATTTGGTCGTTGGAATAATCAATGATACCCTAAAGAAGCCTATTGTTAGAAAGGTTTTATTCTCGATGGATTTCCAATGACGGTTGTCCAAGCACAAAAGCTCGATAGTATGCTTGAACAACGTGGAGTTAAGGTCGACAAAGTTCTAAACTTGGTCGCCGGATCCATCCTTCAAGTGATTGTACTTGCCATACAAAATTTGCACCGTCTAAAGTTCCTGATGTCGATGACATCACCGGGGAGCCTTTGATTAAACGTAAAACTAGGTCCGACAGGCACTAAGCTAACCATGTGTGACTGGTGACCTGAGGCGTCAGAGGTTTGAACCTATTACCTTACAGTCATGCGTTCAATCCCCACACTACCAGACCATCCCTTACGGTACTAAAAAAAAAAAAAAAAAAAAGGCAAAATAGCATAAAATTTCCATGTGATTTGCCAAATTTGCTGAAAACCCCCCGTGCTCTGAAAATTCCATAAAACCTACTCGCGATTTCTAGAAAGTTGCAGAAAATCCCCCTCCCGTTAGGATTTAGCAGTGATTGAATCTCACGCGCCCAAGCTGCGATTTTTGTGCAGAAATTGATATATTACTGCCTAATATCACAAAAATACCCTCGGATATTAATAAATTTATTTTCTCTCTCTGTTTCTTTCTTAATCAATTGTCTTCTTCATCAAATTTTATCTGTCAATTTTTAAATTTATTATTTGTGAGGTAAAGATAAGAGATTGAGATTTTTTTAAAAAAAAAAAAATAGTAAAATTGTGAGATTTTGATTTTTGTTTAATCTTCCCCAAATTTTGGCGCAACACATAGGTTGTATTTCTTTGCGACATCGACTGCCATGAGAACAGAGAATCAACAATTAGAATAACCTATGACGCTGGGTAAGATCTTCTAATCATCCCAATCACCTCATACGGTCGGTGAAATCGTTAATCAAGCTCTCACTAAACTCCTCGCTTAGATGCCGGTCAAAATCGAGCAGAAAGCCGTTGGAAATTGTGGCGTATTGTATGTCGAGGCCAAAGTCGCCGAAGAAATTAAAATTGAAATCGAAGTCGGCAGATTTTGATGCAATGTTGTGAACAAATTCAGTGAGAACACAAGTGACGTCTGTGGAACTTGTTTAGTTCGCCCAAGAGAAACTGGTTTTGAGGTTGGTAAATGGAGAATAAATTAATTTAACAATTTATATTTTTTTTTAGATTTTTTTTTAATAGATAAAATGACTAAGATAAGAGAAGGAAGAAAAGAAGTAGGCAGAGAGAAAGTGAAGTAAGAAGACGCAGAAGGAAGGAAAAATAAAAAATAAATAAGTTGGTGATTTACAAAGGGCATAACTACATTTGTGATAATAAGTTGGTGTAGAGATGAACCATCGAACTTAATTTGTGATAACTACATTTTCTCAAAACGAGGAATATATAGAATTCATTAAAAAAAAAATCTGATTAGAATTTATTAATGTCTGAAATGCCTGCCTATCAAGCACCCATTTGCATGCACATCCGACGTCGATATCATATAAAAACTAAAACCATATGTTGTGGACTCTTATATTTATCATGTATTATACATATTTTCTAAGACATTGTATCCTATTCATTATGGGAAATCAATCCTCTTTTTCCTTTGTATTTTGGCTTTGGCTAATATAACATTCACCTCTTCTTTAGGCTAGAACCAATTATTGTCAAACATATGTTGCCTGTCGAAATTATGTGTTGATTTAGTCAAATGAGCACGATAATAATTTGACTTAATTGTTGTTCTCAATTACTGTCAAACATGCGTTGTCTGTAATAATTATATATTGACTTAGTAAGATCAGCATGATAATGATTTGACCTAGTCATGATCCTAACTGGTGCGATGCTCGTTAGACATATATATATGTATACATACAAATAGACATCTTCATTTACTCTCTCCAAATTCCCTACCATCAACAAGTGTGTATTTCAGTTAGCAAGCAGCTCGACTCCGGGAATATCGAAACCGGAACAGAAACAGGGAAGCTATTCGGCGCAAACCGCGTCGGTAATTCGACAATTTAGGAGGAGGATATGTACAACAAATGAGTGTTAGTGTTACCTTCTTCTCCGAAACACTAATCACCACAGATTGAGTCTCTCCTACGACACAACACAAATTAGATAAGTAAACAAAAACCCAAGCATAGCATATCCATCATCTCCAACATTTTAATTTTATATTATATATCACATTCATCCAATATTTTCCGAAACACAACATCCACATCCTGAAATATGGCGGAAAATCAGCATAATATTAATTTGACCTAGCAAGCAAATATACATGAATATATATATATAATAACAAAATGAAATCTTATAAAGAAGTATGTGTTGTAAAATTTGTATATTGTTTTGTATATAAAATATTTATTCAGCCTGAAATTAATCATATATTGTGCCGTATAAAACGTATACTCCTTCCTCGATTATAATTATGCCAAATTTTTATTTTTTTTTTTGTTGTCTGATATACTTATGCACAATCTATTTATAACAATAATAATAAAAAAAAAAAAAACATTTATTCACTTATAATTTTATTACTCATACTTCAACAAATAATAATCAATGTGTTACTATTTTCTCTAGTGTCACCCACACATATATATTTCAAAATAATAATCAATTTGTTACTACTTTTTCTAGTATCACCCACAATACTATTATATATATATATATAAATTTCAAGATTTGTGTCTTACTTCTTCCAAGTTACAGCAATAAGATTGAAAAGTATCCCCATGATTGTAGTCAACTTCAGGTCACTTAATTATTATGTGAAGAAAAATGATACACACTAGTGAGGGATCCCTTTGTTTGTAGCCAACAGAATCATCATCATCAGCCCAACCAAATCACATAAAAGTCACCTTTTTTAAATTAATTTAATCAAATCTATCAATTCATTTATGTTTTTATTATTATTGTTATTATTTTCATGCCTAAAAAATTTAAGGAATCCAATGGGGAAAGGCCCTGGACCACACCACCACTACAGCTTGCAGAAACCTACTGATGCAAAAAAAACAAATGGCTGAAGAAAAAGGCCATATCTATCTATCCATCATTTCAATCCCACAAACAAATTTATTTATCATGCTTATTTTCAAGTCAATTCTTTTCCCATTTATTTTAACTTTTTTCCATCGTTCCCAATAAAAATATACTAATTTTCCATATAAAACCGACATTCGACCACCTATTTCACCTAAAAGGCTAAAATAAACAACCAAAAGCAAAAACTGACAAAAAACTAACCAAACAAGCTAATTTTTACCTTTCATTTTCGACATAATCTCAGCCACCCTCTTCTGGCACCTCGCGCACCGGAAGTCCGCCAAGAACACCAATTCCTGCACCTGTATACAAATAACGGCAGAAAAAGAAAACACCGTGACCTTTAATACCAAAACAATCTAAATTCATGTTATGCTTGTAAGAAGACCAGCAAAAGAAATGGCTCAGTGGCTCGCCTGAGGTAAGGCCAATGATTCGACAGCAGCTAGGGTAGTTCGAGCAGGGCAGGCAGCCGTTGCCAATGCTACATCCTTCTTCATCACCATAGCCGTGCTTCCTATGGCCGCCTCCAACTGAATATTCAAGAACAGAAGTTCACAGGCTGCTCATTTTCAACAAATTTTTGGTGTGTTAAAAGGATTTGGCAGCACATACTAACTATATATACTTCCAATGGTGAAGTTATAATCTAGGTAAAAAAAATAAAAAAGTAATTGAGCTTCACCATCATCATCATCCAGGGAGCAGCCCCCACAGTACCCCTACCCACCCCCACCCCCCCTTCCCTTTCTTCATGTATAATTTATTTGAAAAGGTAACTTTAAAGGCTATAAAAGCACTAATCACACTATATATCAGGTAAACTAAACTAATCAGGTCTTAATTAAGATTAGGTAATGATGGAAACTATTTAGGAGTAATCCCTTTTCCCAAAAGAGCTCGTTAAACTTACCACTGGGCCTCAAAGGAGACATGGATCACAAACAGTTCCGGGCAGCTCGCCTCGTCTTGTTCCTAGCCCCTGTAGTAAGAGAAGAATAATAAATATCAGTATGGCAATTTATGCAAGAGAAGCACAGGATTGGTCGAAGAAAGTGTAGATCAAAATTCAGAAGAAATCAAGAAACAGGACACCAGTCGACGAAAAAGTAGATGTTATTTGTCTCTATCAAAACTGCAGTCTTATGTGCGGTTTAATGTTGAAATAAACCACACATGGAATTAGCGACCTATTTTATACAAAGCAACTCCGAATAGTACACAAGGTTACTAGCCAACGACAAGAATTTACAGATGTTTGTTGAGCTACACAAACATTCACCTAGACATGACTAAGTTTGTCACAGGAGGCAGAGCCGGCGAACTATAGTGAGGATCATTAGTGTATTTGCAATTCTCTTTGTCAAACTTCAACGATGAACTGACGAAGAACTTCTCAAAGGTCCGCAACTGTGTTTTTTCATCAATTCTGGTGCCGATATGCAACTTTTGAATAGGGCTACGGCTATGGTTAGTTCGTTGTTTTCTTTGCAATCTTTTCCTATATGATTTCCATCGCAACTGAGTGACTAAACTGTCCTTTAAGAGATCTCTGATAGGCTTCTTAATGTCAATTTGTGTCATTTTTCGAACAATCCGAATCCCCCTGTGAGCCAAACGATGAGGGTTAGGGACATCAGGCTTTCTCTGAGCAATTTGGCCACAATTTTCTCCGGGATTAGATGTAATCTTCTTATCATAAATTGACGAGACAACGTCTAGCCTTTCCTTGAGATCATGCCACTTGTTGTCAAACCATTCCTTCGAATGTCTCAAATTGTTAGAGCAGAATACAAGCTCTTGTTTTTCCCCTGCACGATCATTTTCCTTTAATTAGCACTTTGTATATAATTCGACTAGTTAAAATGAACACAAGCGCACAATACGAACCTGGGAGATATACTTTCATTCGATTGTCAAGTTCCACACTCACGACGATTCCCTCCCACCATCCATCGTTCCAATATGCATCTATAATGCAGCCGACTTTCAATGAACTAGAAACTACATTTATAGGTGCCGGCCTGATCATGGTCCTTCTTGGTAATCGGATTCCCAACGTATCAGGTGTGGCAATACGAGATGCCAAGATCCACTCCTATGGAACCAAAGATAAATGATTAGCTATACATAACTAAAAAGCATAATAATACTCAACAATGGAGAATACAAACATTTAGTCCTTACCTCCAGGCCTTTCGAATCGTCCAGTGCATCCTTCAGATCTAGGTACCGTATTTTCAACTTATCTCTGTGCTTTTTGATGATCGATGCCTTGAACCAGCAACCTCTGATTCCACTATCTTGTGATAAAACTTCGATTTGGGAGCCAATACATAAATATGGTACCGGTTGTACGGGTTCGGGTTGTAGAGGTTTAGGTACATTATCCTGGATGGGTGGTGATTCCTCAGGGGAATCTTTAAGGCTGCCAAATTTGAAACCTCCTTTAGATTGAGAGAAACTGCCACGGCAAGCTTGTAAAGAATTTTCGGAGTAAGTTTTTTTATGGTGTGATTTGAAATCACATTCTTTCGACCAACGAATTTTTTTGTGGGGTCTAACCCAAATAGCTTCATCAGAACTTTTTGACTTCTGGTGCTCTTCAGAAGCTACAACTGATGAAAATTTCTTCCTGAATATTTCCTGATTCCAATAACCCTTAATTCGCGTAATATCAAAAGGATAGGCATCATCATTATCAAACTGTTTGCAGCACATAAAAGGAATCAACCCCATACTTGTTGCTTCATCATAGAATTTCTCAAAATGCTCGGGACTGAGGACAGTTGCCAGTCCATCTATGCACTCAATACTGAGATCTTGAAGACAAAGAGAAAAGAAAATCTCTCTGTCATTATAATTATGAGGCAAAATAAAACCAACCTCATCAAGTTTGTGAAACCATCGTACCACAACCATTTTATTGCCTCTGATGTCTTCATACAAATCATCTAAGTAAGCAACAAGCCGTTTGCCTTCTTCAGCCAATACATAAACAAAGTCATGTGCCTGAAATGAGTGGAAAAGCAAAATGAGCATTAAAAAAAAACAAGTTGAAAACTAGAAGTAGCAATAGTGACGTCTGTAAGCATGTAGAGAGGGAATGAGGCAACGTACAGATATTACAGCACCATTACGGCAGAATGACTGATAATGTCTCCTTCTTTTTCGGCATGTCCATTGTGAACCTAACCATTTAATACCTTTCCTATGCTCATCTGTCTGAGGACATCAAATTTCCAATAAAACAAAGTAGCGACCAAGTCAATACAAGAAAAGTAAGAATACAATATATGATAATAATGAAATCCAAAACAAGCGTATATCTAACCTTAATAACGTTAGTACCCAACTTGCCGTCCATCTCATCCCCAACCTGTCCAGGAGAACCATTAGATGGTACAGCTGAAACCAATAACAGAAAAATTAGGCACCGTATCAAAGGACAAATCCTGACTAGCATATTTGAAAAACATGGCTACAAATATTTGCAGAAGCAATCCGAACAACGAGCACATGCAAGAAACCTCATAGAGCTAACGACAATAAAAAAACTAGCAAACTATGTCCAGCACTTCATCACAGCAGAAAGGCAAGAGCAGAACACAAGTTGTAAAAGGTCCTAAGAGATCATTTTAGATGTTAACCTAGTATGAATGGGATTTTCCGGAGCTCCAAAGCAGCTCTTAGAAATGATACAACATTCCTGCAGCCCATATGATTGTCAGTCTTGCAGGCTCCACATCGATCGAGATAGAAAAAGGTACTATTATCAGAAAGAAAAAAATCCCCAAAAACAGTAGAAAGGAACGAGGCTAAAAACACACAACAGATGCATTCCCACATAACACACAAAAAATAAAATCAAGAAACCACAGAAAAAAGGTTTAAATTAGGAATGGAATTCATGTAGTCAAAGAAAACGGCTAAATCCAAGAAAAGTCTTTGCGAACGTATATAATTTTCCATTCAATACACATATCCATAAAAACTTATTTCCATTAAAAATAAAATAAAGTTCAAATACGAACTTCCCCAAGAACATTCAAAACACATCCTCGGGCGCACTGAGACAAAAAGTCCAAATTTAGGAACCGGAATTCAGGTAAAGCAGATAATCTTGAATAAGGACGTCAATCTAGAAGCAATTTTCAGAAATCGAGAGCAGATATCTACCACAACACAAAGATATCATACAAAATTTAAATACTGCAACGCCGACCCGTGTAAAAAAGTTGCCATCCATGGAACAAGAAATTTCTCCCCAAAAGAAGATCGAGACCGTCAAAGTAACTAAAATAAAATTTTATTATCTCCTCCGGCATATCTACAAGAAAAGAAAAGAAAATATATCTCATACAAAAAGAACCACCACGCGCCATGATAATTAAAATCTCCAGATCACCAAGTTCATAAAATTTCTTTAACAAAATCGATTCTGTGTTTTTTGGTCGTGAATCGGGGGGATCTTCCGGCTCATAAATTGTAGGAACAGAATATTGCTACATTTTTCTCAAGGAAAAGCCTAGATTTCATATCTCCAAGACGATGAATCTCGTATAAGTTAAAGAATCAAATTTTGTTTATTTAGCTGGGAAATCGGAATAGTTTTCTGGCTTGCAAAACAAAAGACGAATTACCCACACGAAATTGCAACAAATCTCAGTTTCCAGCAGACAAACAACGAGATTGCCAAGCCGCAGATCCATGTCAATCTAGGACCTAGAAAAACTTTGGGAATATAAACCAAAAGCAATCTCAAACGTTGATTTCATTCACGAGAAACCAGAAGGAAGAAGAGATCCAAACAAAAACTCAAATAGCAAACTCAAAATCCCGAAGAAAAACCACTTCCCCACGCAAGATGCTTCAGACTTAATGGGGAAACGAATCCAAAACCAACTTCTTTGAAAATTGACAATTACCTGAAAGACACGAATTAAGCCAATCGATGACCTCTCTTCTGGACCTCGGCTTCACCCAGAAGCGGCTGGAAAACAAGCGCAATAATTCTTCACCTTTGACAGCGATACGATACGACGTATGCTTCGAGCTCTTCACCTTCCCCACAACCACCAGATCTCTGCCGCCGCCGCTGCGCTTGAGGTAATAGTGGACCGCCCGCCGCCCCTTCTCGTCCGACACCACCGCCTCTTGCCAACTCACATAAAACGGCGTCGAATCACCATTTTCCATCGCTCAAATCAATCGAAACGCCGGAATTAAACTGAAATTCAAACGAGCAAAATGAAGAAGGTTGATGAACAACACAAAATCAGTTCCAATGATTCCTCTTTTCCTTTTTTTTTTTTTTTTTCCCCACAATTTTTCGATTTGGAATTTCAAAAACAGGCCTGTCCGATTTCAGATTATTTATAGTCGAAGACCTAGGGTTTCGCGATTTGAATGGACGGCTGCGATTACGCGATGATATGTAGGAAAGTCGCACGAAGTTTCGAACGTTATATCACGTTTGCCGCACGGTCAGTCGACCGATATGAAGTTACTATTTTACCCCCGACGGGTAATAACAAATTATAAATGACGCAATCCACGTTACACTTTGGATTATACGCAAATAAAGAACGAGATTTTATTTTAATCCATATTTAGGGGTAGTTATTTTTGTAATAAATTTTAGGTTTTCAAAAGTATATCAAGAAACTGCATTGTAAATTATTTTTATTAATATATATATAATTAAATTTAGAATTTGTTCTTTTATTTTTACATTTCTATACAAAAATTATTTGTATTTTTCAATAAAAATATAAGTTTATTTGATTTGTATTTATATTTGAGTTTTGATTTACATAAAAAATAATTTAATACTTTATAAAAAAATAATATATCTTAATTATAATTTTTTTTTGTCATAGACTAAACAAATTTTACTATTTTTCACAAGTTTTTAAAAATAATGGAGTAATAAATATTTCATACTAAACAATTAGAGTCGATAATATAAATATTATAGATTAAATATTAATTTTAAAAGAAAAAATATAATATATAGTATATATATTGAAAATTTTAATTATAAATATCCGGACAAACAAACTCAAATTAAGGTTTACGCAAAATATTTTTATGATTCTAAATAAAAATAACAAAAATGTAATAAGATTTTGTTTGCTTTTTGTAAAAATATTTCGACATATTTTCAAAAGAAAATGATATATTATACACGTCCCTTATTTCTAAAATAACTAAACAATTTTCTAAATTTTACATATAAAATAATTTTTTCAAATCAAAATACAAAACAAACAAACCCTAACGACTAAATTACAAAAAAAAAAAAAAAAAAAAAAAGACACACCATTATAAATATCTTTATTTTATTGATTTATTTCAAATTTATATTAAATAATTATTAAATTTAATATTCATGAAAAAAATTGTATATTGTTTTTATACAAAATTAAAAATAAGAAAATAAAATTACCGATTTGATTATTGAATTGAAAGTAATTTATTTAGTTAATATTTAATTTACAGTGAAATATATATAAGATTAAAAATTTTAAAATATATTTTTAATTATTTCTATAAAATATATAATATGGATATCAAGAATACAATAATTATAGAAAATAGTAATTTATTTGTTTGATGATTTTTAATTATTATATGTATGTATTTTTGTAATATTTTTAAAATATTATGTATTTTAAAATATTAAATTATTTCCTCCTCCTTCAATATAAAGTTACGGCAACGAGAATTTTGGAGCAATATGATTGATGAATAATTAAAAATATATTAATAAAATGAATTATAATATAATAAAATTAATTATAAATTAAAATTAAGATAATTAAATAGTCTAATTAAAATTTAAAAACTACTATAAAATGTAAAATTTAAGATATAACTAAAATATGTCATTCTTTTTCATAAATAAAAAGTGATATAAGACGATTAAAAATATAAATGTGACATTATGTATGTGATAGAAGAAATAAGTGAACGTAACTGTATTTATTTTATGTTTTTAGTTTGAAATATTTCATGTTAAATATAAAAAATAGTATCGATAATAAAAAATATATATTCATTATGTCGAGTAAGAAGAGTATCATTTATTTTTTTCATATAAACTTTTTAATATTAGTTGTATATTAATTTGTAATAAAAAAGAAAAATATACATCTATTAATATTGTAGTATTGTGTAATATAAAGAAAAAGTAAGGATAGTTTTATAGTGATACGGTTATTTATGAAAATGAGACTATTATTTTAGAACGGACAAAAATGGTAAACAGTACTGTCGTATTGGATGGAGGAAGTATTATTGTTAACTTTTTAATATTTATATATTATATTTTTCTAATATTAATCTAAAAATGTGTCTTTTTTTCCTTCCAATTATATACTTATAATTAGATAATAAGTTTTTATCGAACATTAGCTTACCAATTATAACCACTTTCCAATTATCTTCATTTTGTTTATATTTATTTTCAAACTTATTTTGCATTATTTAAAAAAATATATTTTCTTTTAAAATATTATACTTTAAAATTTATCTTGTATTTAGAATATTATATCAAAATTAGTTCTTTTATTTTGAATTATTAGTGTTTGAAAAAAAAATATTATATAAATAAAAATAATCACACCCTATATAGTATACATATTTCTGCTATATTTAATAGTATATATATATTTTTTTTTTATTTTTTTTGGTAATGTAATCAATCTAAGCCTTAAAAACTTATGTGAAGGCAACCCATCTTTTTAGGGTGTGTTTGGTTGGGGGTTTGGATTTTGAGTTGGGATTTGAATAGTAAAAATTTCGAATTTAAATAGTTGTATGATGTGATATAAATAGGTGATGATGTAAATGTAAAATTGATTTTTAGTATAATATAATAAATAAAAAATAGGTGTTTGATTTGATGTTTTTGGGGAAAAAATTTTGGATGAAAAGTGAGATTTTGTCCAAATCTCTCAACCAAACACACCCTAAAAGATATTCCTGTTTAAAACTTTATTAAAATTCAATAGAAATAAATCACTATTAATTATTCAAAATAATTGCAATGATTAACAAATAAATGTGCATTATAAACATATTTAATTCGTGTTTTTATTTGAAATATATTTCAAATAACTTACTAAATATAGTACTTACCAATTCATTGGGTTGTAGTAATAATTTTATACTTTCAACTTTTAAGGGTGTGTTTGTTTGAGAGTTTGGATTTTGAATTGGAATTTGAATAGTAAAAATTTTGAATTTGAATAGTTGTATGATGTGATATAAATAGGTGTTGATGTGATGTTGTGAATGTAAAATTAATTTTTAGTATAATATAAAAAATGAAAAATAGGTGTTTGATTTGATGTTTTCGAGGAGAAAAAATTGGATGAATAGTAGATTTAGAAGACAATCCCCCAAACAAACACACCCTATGTATTTTTTTTTAAAATTGTTTTTGTCAATGTCATTGAGAGATATAAATTTTTAATTATAATTAAAATAATTATATTTAAATACTAAAATACTCTTAATTTTCATAAAAATATTAGACATGTTCATGTGTATTTGTCTGGGGGTTTGGATTTTGAGTTGGGATTTGAATAGTCTAAATTTTGAATTTAAATAGTTGTACGATGTGGTATAAATAGGTGTTGATGTGATGTTTTGAATGAAAGATTGATTTTTAGTATAATATAAAAAATAAAAAATAGGTGTTTGATTTGATTTTTTTGGGGGAAAAAATAGAATGAATAGTGAAAATTAAATCCAATCCCCCAAACACACACACCCAAATGTACTACTCCTAACTTTTATAAAAATATTAGGCATGTTCATTTTGTGCTTTTGGTTTAATATGGTTTTTTTTACTTTAGATATAGATAATTGTATTGATAATATAAAAAATAATATTTTGTATTAAATTTTTTTATGTTTTGTGGATAAATAAAACACATGGTTATATAAATTTTGTGCATACTTTAATTTAATACAAAGTTTCACGCAAATAAAATATAAGAAGTTTGTTCGCTTTATATTGTTGTGTTTTATGTTAAATATGAAGAATTGTGTTGATAATATAAAAAATAATATTTTGTATTGAATTATTAATTTTTTGTGAGTATATAAAGTATATATTGTTATAAAATTTGGGAAAAATAATTGAGATTATCTTATTGACTTGAATCTAAGTAATATAATTTATGCATAAAATAAAATATAAATATAAAGCTACTAAATCTAAAACTGAATATCTAATCCCCTTCAAACTCAATTGGTATAACAGAAATTGCTAGGACATAAAAAAAAATAGGCTCTGATACCATGTTAGTAATTTTGAGGAAAAATAATTGAGATTGTCTTATTGACTTAAATCCAAGTAATCTAATATAAAATTAAATATTTAAAATATCTCAACATATACATTATATTAATATATATATTATTTTTAGAATAATATTTATGAAAAATCATTCAAACTTAAATATGAACAATCTAAGATAGTTTATGCATTTAGACTAAAACACAACCAGACATTATACAATTCACCTTAGAGTATTTGTCGTATTCACATTTCTTATTATCTTTGTGATTGTTTTTTTTGTTACTATTATTTTTACTACAAGACTTAGTTACCTTTCTTATTAAAAAATACAATTATTAAGTATTTATTATCATTATCAAGAATTAGTTACTTAAAAATAATAATAATAATAATTAAACATTACTCAAAATTTTTCTAAAGTTTAAAATTTAATAGAAATTATCTATAAATATATATATGTTTGAGTTATTTTGAATAATTTTAATTTTTAATGTAGTAAATTATATGTTTGAATATATTAAAGTTTATATAAATTAATATCTAAAAATTAAAATATAATATTATATAAAAATATTATTAGACAATAAAAATATATAGAAATATGTATAAATAAATAAATAATATGTACAAATAAATAATTTAAATTGTTGTTAAAAGAAAGTAATTTTAATATTAAAATATATATATATATATATGTGTGATTTGAATGAAACAAATAAAAAGGATAATGAATTAGAGATAATGATGTAATAAGTTGCAAGTAAATATTAATATGATGAAATTATTCCATTCAATTTATTATATAAGTTACCATGTTTAGATTTTAAATAATTTTATTAGAGTTTGAAGCATAATAATGCTAAAATTATACTGTGTAAGTTAGTAAAATTGGAATTTTTTAATAATATTATATATGGTAATCAATTTTATATGCATGATATAATTTGGAAAGGATAATATTTATATATATATATTTCATAATGTGGGAATTCACAAAAAAAAAAATATCGACAAGATAAATCACA